GTGCTCGAAATGGAAATTTCGAAACGAACCGGAACGTTCGCAAGACTAATATGCCGTCGCGGTGACGTTCCTACAAAGTTAAATTTTAAACGTTGCACGGTTGTCCCAAGTTTCTAATTTAGTTACAACTAAAATAGAACCGCCACGAGCGGTCTTAGTAATATTGCAATGCGATGTTCCGTACGAAACGCAAAAACGTGCATATCGCAAAGATGTTAGGCGACATAAAATGTTTAGTGGCAGGGGTTTAAAAGCCTAGCCAATTCAGTACGGTTTTCCGACACTGCAAAAGCATCATATAGTAACGGTATAGTGTACAGTATTATAATATGTAGCGATTTGGAAAAAATAAAAAAAAAAAAATTGTACGTCCCTATTAATGAAAGAAAAACAAAAATACCGTCGCGCTGATAATATTTGCGTAGCGTCGGAATATTATAATTGTATTTCAATAAGATACAGGGCCGTTAGAAACTTAGAACTCGTATAATTTGGTTTTTTTTTCCTCTATCTGTTTTTAAAACCTTTTTATTTTTTCCGGAGTTTTCGTTACGGGGTTCGAACCCGCGGTAACACGACACCGCACTAGGTCTCGGTCGTCGGGCGCTACGGTCACGCAGCGTGTTCACCGCCGTTGATTGCGAACGTTTTCGGACCGCGCGACACGGAATTGTAAACCGTCGACGCGCGCGACTTTGGCGGGACACAACAATGTATTCGGGACGACCGGGTCGTCGTCCCGCGTGCGGTCCGCGCGAGTCCCGGCGAGCGAACCGCCGAATCCACGACATGCTGCCCGTTGGTAATATTGCCGAACGGCCGAGCGCGCGTATTTCATACGCGCGGGAAAAAAATTTTAAAATTAAAAATCGTGTAGGTATTTCGTCGGTCCAATGACCTGCGTCGGGTGTTATTTTTTTCGCGGCGCCGCCGTTAATCGCTTTACATTCGCGGTCGCCTGACAAACAGCAACCGTCGCGTCTTCCGTGTACCAACTGCAGACGCGGTTACGTCGGTGCGTTTTGTAATTTTCCTCGTCCGTTGAACAGACGAGACGAAACATTACTCCGCTTTATTTTCACTATTGATTTTCTTTTATTCCACTGCATAACCTAACGCAGCTTTGGTGCAATGCAACGTCCATTCTCTCTCTTTTGTTCGAATTAAATTACCGCGAGCTCAAAGAAAATAAAAACAATTTTAACTTTGTGTCGTTCAGAACGATCGACACGTGACGCGGTGGACGGAAGTTAAATATTCCAACACCAAAATGTATTTTTTCAATCAAAACTTCGCGTATTTGTGCAGTTTTTAACACGGGCCGTGTGATACATGAACATCCAGTTGGTATAGTTGTTTCGCCATCAAAAGTTTAGGTGACCAAAATATATCGGAAATTTAACATTTTAAAGTCGCTTGTTACTTAAATTTTCTAAGAAACGAATTCCGGACATATGCCCCTATTACTTTTCGAGATAATGACTGTCTTACGTTGTGCTGATCGTCCTGTATAGTAGCGCCGTCATAAATAATAATACGATAATAAAACCGTTTGCATGCGGACCTCGTTAATGGCATAATAATCGTCGCACTGGTTGGTTTAGTGCACTGCGCCAAATTTGTATTATTGTTATTTAAACAGATATCTGCATCACTGGTACAGACTGTTTCATTTCCCCCGGAAGGTAAAGCCGACCTTCCGATAAGCTATCCGGAATTATTTTATCTCGGCGATTAAAGAAACGGGATTTCGCAGACTCGTTCGTCCGACGTCCGAAAACCGCGCACGGGAATAAAAAGGAAAACTAAACCGTATCGGACAATAGTAATATACGTACGACTTTACGAGTTTTTGCCCACTACAGGCGTATTGAAAACGCATACGAGTACGTTTCCCGGCGTAAAAACATGCCCGTTTCGGATCGTCATGCATGATGGCTGTGTGTGAACTGTAGCATAATTTCTCTTTATCTAAAAATCGATACGTGAACCGCGGCAAAAACAAATTTAACGTTATACAAACCGTGACAATTTATTTCTTACACTCATCAGATGTATACATTAAAATTGCGGAATAGAAAAAAAAAACATTATCATTTCATTAATATTAACGTAGCTATAACGAGTGTATGGCCAGTACAGGTATCTTAATGAGCATACGAAATAAATTGCCGCAGTATGTATAATGTATCCTATCGGTTTTGCCGCAGCTGGCATATCGGCTTTTAGAAAAAGCGAAATTCTGCCGCAGTTCACCATCTCCAATGAATCTACGAAAAAACCGTCAAGTAAAATACGCCAAATGCATTTTTTACTTCAAAAATCGCAAACGTTAATTTTATATCAATTGTCAAGTTATCAAATTATAAATTATCAAAAGTATAAATAGGTAAATAATAATAAAAAGAGCTGATACTGAGGACGGGTGCGGGCCACTGTTGTAGGTGGGTGAAATACACAAAGTTATATAATTCATACCTGTAACTAACGATAAACCAGTGATAATTTTAAATAAAAGAGCCGATACTGGGGACGGGATCGGCCACTGTGAGAAGTTGAGAAGGTAAGATACATAAGGTTGATTACTATTTGTAAGCAACGATAAACCATTGCTTGACGAAAGACGATTCCAAGCGCGGTTCGGTAATACATAATTTGAAATTCCGTAATTTTTTTTGTTGCGATTTTCGTTTAAATTTGATTTCAAAACTATTATTAAAAAAAAATTCGTCAGACGATTTTGGAAATTTTACCTCGTCTAGGTAAGTCCAATATAAGTATTATTACCAAGTTTCAAATCTCTATGTGTATTCATAATCGAATTGCAGCAAAAGAAAACTCCCAAAAATTAAATTCCTTAAAAGCTCAAAAGTAACTCAAACGTTTTGGCAATGATACCGATTAAGAAATTAAATCAAAAAAGCAAAAAAAAAAAAAGACGTCTTGTGATTTTTCGATTAAATCATTTTTTTCTGGTAGAAAACGTCGTCCGTGTTTTTATAAAATAATGAAATCGTGAAATTGTACGTTTACCTACGTTTCTTCCCACTTAAGTGCTTTTATTTAAAAAATGACATCGAAAATTAAAAAATGACCTCTTTAAAGTACATTGTAAACAATTTGAGCTTTCAGAAAAAGTGCTACACTTATACGTCTTTTACATCGGAGCAATTTCAATAGAAAAAAACGTGTTTAACACGTACGTGTAAAAGTAATTTTACTACTAGCGTGTTCTAGCTAGTAAAACTAGCTTAATTTTTATTTTAGAGTAAAAGTACCTCTTATGAAATGTATAGAAAAAAATATTTTGGAGGGAATGTCATATGTGTTTTTTGAATTATGAACTATAAAAGTGACAGTAATTTTTTTTAAAAAAAAAAAAAAATAAAATAAGGAAAGTTTTTTATATCTTTTATATCGATATATTTTGAATGGGTAATACAAAAATCCTATAATATTCCCTCAAAAATACTGTTCTCTATAAATTTCATAATACGTATTTTTACTCAAAATCAAAATTAAGCTAGTTTTACTTATTCTGCGTAAGCATTGTTTTTGCATGTTACTCGGTAGTTGGACTGAGACAGTATATGCGGTTATACCGTCATCTTAATGAAATTATTTACTCATTATTATTAAATTTATGTAGGTTTATTATTTCGTCGATTTACCCGTAGACGAAGTTCAATATTGTTATCAAAATAAAATTTATCATGGGAATATAGTACATTTGTACACATTAATATTGTAACAATATGACCTTTTTTATGGAATCCGTAAGTCAGTTATCTTATCGATTATTGATTATTAAATACGATTTATCTTAAAAATTATGTGCTTGGAATTTAGTTATAATAATTTCTGTTAGTAAATCCGTGACCGTTATATGTAACACACTAATGAAATAATATTTTTTCTATTTAAATTTAAATTTTAGAATGATTTTTTGTAATTATTAAAATTGTCGAATTATTAAAATTTGTCAAATTTGTTTTGTTAAAAATGCCACGAAAAAGGTCAGTATATTTGATTGGCTCAATAGATAATCAAATTCTCTGCAGCAAACTGCCTACACTAAGATAGATTATGTGAAAGTTTTATTTTGTAAATATTCGAAGTTAAAATAAATTTATCAGAAAGTGCATATTTAGCTGTAGATGAATTCCAAAAAAAAAGATCGAGCAGATTGTATGAGAAAATAAAAAATAAGTCACCTTTTGATTTTTCCAGGAGTTTTCCCAATAAAATGGGAAAAAAACGGGAAAATAGATATAATATTAAACCAAATAGGTATTATTAAAGAAAATATATAATGCACATGTAATTATTTTACCACAATATGATAAATTATACACTGTTGGCAAAACAAAACCGTTAACCGAACTCCGCTCAGAATCGTTTTTTCGTTAGCAATGATAAATCGTTGCATACAGATATATATTAAATTTCTCCTCTACCAAGTACCTTCAAAACTTCTCACCTACAACAGTGGCCCAACCACGTACGAAATATGTCCGTTTATTTTTTTCAACGGTTATTTCCGAGCTATCGATTAGAAACAAACTGAAAAGCACCGTGACACGCGTGATGTTTGGTCCACAACCATTTTTACTTAGTATTACAGTGAACTAATCGAGACGATAATTACGTCGTCCAAAAGTTTAGTAGGTATAGGAATCACGAACACGATTATGAAAAAATATTTTACGTTTCCCACCTACTAACCAACTACCTACTGGGCGCCGGGCGGTAACAGCGCACGACCGCAATTTCGGTAACCGTAAACCGAGATAACCAGATAACAATTGATAAGTGATAATGAGAAAAATTCAAAAAAATGTACAATGGATTTGAAGTTCTCTGTGCCAAGTGGATACTTCATGAAACATAGGTGCTTGATATTTAAAAGCCGACCCGTAGATCCTGTTGGACTGGACGACTGGTGACAATCGCAGACACGTAACTGTTGAGGTTTTATCGGAGCACACCCACGTCACAAAATGTCGTTCCTGAACAAGGTGCGTAAGAATTTGCCACACATCAAGCACAACACCCAGTTGCTGTTCAACAATACGGGACTGTGCATAAAGATCATATCGTGCACGCTTTCCGTCTGCTATTTCTTCTCTTTCTGGTCGAAGAGCTCGACCGTGTTCGGCGTCACGCCGGGCTACCTGTTTCCCCCATCATTTTGGCTGTGGACCCCATTCACATTCTGCTTTTTCGAGTCGCACCTGTGGCAGGTACTACTGGACATTGCCGTCGTGGCTGTTTGTGGCAAGCTCATCGAACCGCTGTGGGGTGAACTACAAGTGCTCGTGTTCTTCGCCATCGTCAATATCGGTGTGGCACTGGCGTGTGCCTTGTTTTATTACACCCTATATATGTTCACCTGGGACCCGGAACTCCTTTTCTCGGTGCACATCCGCGGTCTGGCCGGCTATTTAGCCGGTGTCACAGTGGCCGTCAAACAGATCATGCCTGACAGTCCAGTGTTCGACACTCCAGCCGGTCGCATAAACAACCGTAACGTACCGCTGTTTACAATATTCGTGTCATTGATACTCTGGTTGGTCGGCTTTGTTGACGGCACAAAACCCACGATGGTGATCAGTGGTGTGTTGTCCAGCTGGGTGTACTTGAGATTCTATCAGAGACATACAAATGGCACAAGAGGTGATATGGCTGATAATTTCACCTTTGCTAGGTAAATACAACAATATTTTTATTTACTTTTTATTGTAACTTCCAATTAACAGTTTAAATATTTAAAATTTTAGCTTTTTCCCTGTAATCGTTCAACCACCGATTTCTGTGTTATCTAATTCAGTGTACAGTATTTTTGTAAAAGCTGGTATATGTAGGAAAACAGTACGTAGAGTAGACATTGGCAGTACACCAACTGGTATTACTGTCTCGCTGCCTGGTATTCGATCACAAGATATGGACCGAAGAAAGTAAGTTGGTTAAAAATTGATTTTATTTTGCTTTACAATAAAGTTTTTCATCTAATCTTTGATGATTTAAAATTGTTCAAATTATTGATTTTATTATTTATACTTAAATAGAACATAATTTACATAGTTATTTAACGAATCCCATAGGTGCTCAGAAATTTGTTAGGGTTAATTAGTCTTCATTGTAGGTATATAATTATCACATAATTCTATTAGATAAAATTGTTTTTTTTATGAATAGCATATGTACATTAAGTTAATGTTTATAATATGCTATCGTTGCTATAGAGTTCTAATATGACTACAATAGTTTTCTCTTTTTGTGTCTTTGAGTTTAAATAAATGTAATATAATATTTTGAGTGATAATATTTTTTTGGAACTTCATAAATAAAATGCTATTTTAAAATTTAAACATTTAAAACATTTTGATAAATGTCAAATCTTTTATTTTAATATTATGTACTTAAAACTTCTCTTGAAAATTAATGACACATCTCTATTTTGTTTGTCTACCATTGATATTATTAAATCTATAGATGAGAGTTGTATCAAAGTATTACATATCAAACAAAAATATTTAAGTAGGTATCAATATCACTACTGTTCAATAGATGTGTTAACTAGGATATCTGTAAAATCAATTAGAAATTAATTTGTTTTCATATCTCTAAAATAGTGAAGTTTATGATTGAATAAATTTTATTTATCATAATGTTATTTATAAATTATTATATTGTACATTGTGATTTATAGCTCATAATGTATAAGTACTCTAAATAGGTTGTGTGCCTGTAGAATGGGCTGTGCATTTATTGAAAATTAAGACACTGTCATTAAATAAAAATAGAATATTCCTGAAATCCAAATTAAAGTATAGTCAGTGGTCTTATTTCAGTTTTTGAGAGAATGGACAAAAGTTTTGACTGACCCATAATAAAATTGAAAAAAAAAACCACTCTCTAACTTACCTATTCGTCACAATTATATTTTTATCTCAGTACAAATGCCCTTCTCGCATCGTTTTATACTTACTAGTTACTATCATACACATAAATAACCCATTTTTTTGAGGGATAACAATGATTAAATAATAAATATATATATATTGAGGGATACCTAAATATAATATTGTCTATTAGCTACTATACGAAGACTTAGTTTAAAAGGAATTTTACCCCAATTTACATCCTATTTTGTCATCATGTGTAGAGTATAAATGTATCATAGTTATAAAACATAATGACCTGAACCATGTTTATAGGCTTATTGATGACAAGAGGGAGCAAATATTTCACCCCTCAAATTTTTTTGGTGTTTATTACTTTTACAATTGCTTCATTGAGTAGCTAAGGTTTAACCCCCCCCATACATCTCAAACCCTATTTGTGTCTATGACAATATTTGAAAGTTAAAAATTATATTAAAAGTTGTGGTATATGCATTATTTATAGTAGTAGCTAGTTATTACTTAGTATATTTGAGGGAGTTTAATTTCTCTGTTTGCTCATTTTAAGGGGGTTAGCCTCCTCAAGCCCTCTTCCATTTCGGCCTATGATTTCAAGTAATATTATGTACTACACTCTATTATTATGTTTGGTATCTAATTCAATATACGGTAAAAAGCTATTGTAATAATTTTATATTAGCACGGTTAATTTATTCATTGCTTATTATTTTAGATTGTTGGCCTTGAAAGCGCTTAATAGTCGATTAATAGATTCTGGTAATGAGGCGCCAAGAGTCCCCAGTAGTTTGGACTCTGAAAGAAGAGACTCGGTAATTATATCGATGGGAGATTCAGAACAGTCTGCACAAGTGTTATCTAATGATGCGGCGATATCAAGTAAAACAACGTAATACATTGAATTGGTTTTTTCCACGGGAAAAATGTTTCTAATTTATGTATACATAATATGTCTTGTATTATACATTTTGTTTTAATTATATAATAATATATTGTATGAGAAATGATAAAATGACAATTTGTACATTGTTTGTGCCCAAACATGTCTCCCATTATTTTAGAGTTACTAATGTATTATACAAGTTCAAAAACATATTTGTAATGTTGTAAATAGTATCATGTTCATATTGTACATAGGTAAACTAGGGTATTTTCATTAATTATTGCATCACTACAAATGTTATATTACGAACCCGATCGTGGGTCACATTTTAATAATATTGTTTAAATTATGAGTTACTTTTGTATAAAATTGTATTAACACAAACATACACATATTTCAAAAACTATATATAATATTATATAAACCTGTGATAATAAAATAATTATTTATGATAAATATTTTTAGTTTTGTATAAACTTCATTGTTAATTTGTAGGTTAAAGCCTCAAAGGTTAATATATGCTGTAACAGTCATTTTATTATCTATATAAATTAGGTATATTTGATCCATTTACGAAATTGATAATGAACATAAATGGTAAAACTGCAGTACCTACCTATTAGTATTATAATCGCGTACCGCATACAAATTTTTTATTTTTTTGTCGATTCACGGTGGAGGTGATCAAAAAGTACCTAATTAAGTAGATTTTCGAAGAATACTATAATTGACCATTTGTCCAAGTCGAGTTTTTTTCGAAATGTGCGTTTCTGTTGAAAATCGAGTTGTAGCCGATACGACGGGCCGTTGTGTGCAAGGATTAAAACATTAACATCTATAATTAATTAGAAGTCCATCCTGAAACGGTCGTACTTTGGCAAACAACGCGACTAAAGGTTATCGCTGCTACTGATAAGTTAATGCCGATAGAGTTTAATAGGTAGGTACATAGAAAACAAGCAAAATGTATATTTGATACGTCTTATTGTGCTTAGTGCATTGTGTACCTTGCATGCGGTTCGCGGTTTTGTGCGCTTTTACAACACATCTTGAAATCGGCGATGGCGGTGAGTTTCGCTGATTGTTAATTATGTTTTTGAATTTTTGTACGTTTTTTCAAGATTAACCGTTCCCGTCATCGTTTTGCTCGCAGGAAAAAACTCTGGACCTGAGGTACAATGAAATGTGGACGGCTTGGAACAACGCCGAGACCGGGACGGAGGTGTACGACGACGATGACGATTCAGCGACACTGTTCAAACGCGACTTGGTGCTGTCTTGGAAACAGTTGAACGTTACGGTCGACAAGAAAATTCCCAAGTTTTTCGGCCGGAGTGAAATCGCGCGCAAGCAAATTTTGGACAACGGTAACAATGATAAAAATAAAATTTCAATCGAATTCGATTGACGCCGATTCCGAAAACGTGTCGGCTTTTGTGTTAGGTACGGCGCGGCTAGGCAGGCAGGTACCGCGGTGGCGGCTCGCGGGCGCGACAGTATGGAAAAGTCCCACGTCTCGGTTTAATTATTACAAATAAAATATTAAAAATATTACATTGACGCACGGGTACTTTTATAATAGTTTTATTTTTATAACAGCTATAACGTTCCAAACGACATTTTTACGACTAACTTCGCGATTAACCGTTCTTATCTTGCAATATTGTCGCCGGTCACAATAACGCTCTCTGCGAGCGTGCGAGTCGAAGAGATCGTGGAAAATCCCGTTATTCTTGATGTTGTTATTTTATTTTACTGGGCTCCGGACTTTGCCGGCTTCTGTATGTATTTTGAGTCGGATTGTGATAAACGGACAGTGACGTTTTTCGCCGGCTCCGGCGTACATTTGCGGCCGGCGACCGCGCTTGGAGGAACACGGTGACCGGCCGTCGAAAAACCGGTGGATAAAAAATGGATGCCTCACCGAACGTATTGGAGAGTCGTCCCTTTGTGTCCCGTCCGATTGATATTAAATTTGGCGGGAGCGGTCTTGCGGTCACCTAAAGGCCGTTTCCAAAGTTTGTTTGTGACCGGATGAATTCCGGGCCGAGTCAAATTATTTGGCGTTGAAACCATTCTGTTGCCACTAAATCCCGCAGATATGTACTTTATGCGAAAATCAGAAGTGGGGCGGAAGTACTGTTACTATGAAATGCACCTAACACAACTATACATTGTATTAGTGAAGATCCTGCACCGGTACCGTGTAAAAACTAAAAACTGCCGAGTGTTGGCGCTTAAATGCCCTAGGAATTTCATATATCCCCGGAAAGTATGGTAAATCCGGAGGGGCGGGGAGTATACGAACACTAGAATTATGGTACCGAGGGGTATGATTTGCCTGTTGCGCCGGGTCACGGTAAAGTGCACGTAAAATAATAATATGAATGAACGTGCGCGCGTTTTTGTCGTCCGGTCACCCGAAATCTATTTCATTTCTTACATAAGTTCGCAAACATTATTTTTCCAATATTGTTATTAATAGTTTTACAATAAAATATTATGTTATTAACTCTACCGGATTTCGTAAATAATATTTATATCCAAGCCCGGATTAAGATGATTTTGGGCCTGGGTCCACAAACATGTTCAAAATATTGGAAAAACGATTTGAACTCGTATAAGTCATATATTATGTAAATAAACTTTACTCATAAGTCGTGGTATGATAATAATAATAATGTACGGTCTGAGATTAGGTAATAGTTCTTAGAGTTGAGTGTCTCGCCATTTCATCAAGCACCGAATCGGATTTAACTTCAATGTCTGCATGTATCACGTTTAAAGTGGCCATTCCATTAAGTCTCTGCTGTCTTGTGGTGTAGTGTTTCTTAAATAGAATTCGTAAAAAACTCACAAACATATTTCGGGGAGGGGAGGGAGGGTCACAACCTTTAACTCCTCCGGGTTGGGCCATTGCTCCCGTTACACTATAATAGTCTCGTTACAACCGATGATACGTCAAAACCACGATTAAAAATATACCCATTATAGGTACAAGTGGGTATAGGTACAATAGGTACAATTTATCTCTTTAATCGTGGTCAAAACGAATAATGAAATATTGTATGTTATTATTTTCTAATTTTAATGAAGATCAACCGAACAATTTTCGTAAATTTAAAATAAAATCGTAATTTATTCTTTCCTTCGATTTTACGCAGGGGTTGTGATCGTCCAAGCCACCAGCCGCCACCCCGTGCCTATCGATAAAATCACTTATTACAAATATTTATATCGCATTATTATCGTTACCGACATTATACTATGAACAGTTATTTCAAGTCTTTCTTGACTAATATTTGATGATTTTATTTTTGTTTTTCAAACAGACCAGTTAAAGGCACTCTATCCATAAGCGCTTAAAAAAAATACCTAGTAGACTTTTTTCTGTATCACACTGAATAAGAGTAGGTACCTATTTTTTCATCCAAAATAGATTTTCCTTATGGTAAAATCGAACAGAATCAATAAATACGATTAGTGTACAACATAATTTGTGCATATTGATTAGCCTAAAATAATAGTTTGTGTCTTAAATTATATTAATATTAATATTATATAATATGATTTAAGATTTATGTAGGTACTATCATACAGGTCCATGTCATATTATTTGTTTTCAACTAAATTGGTAACTTATCAAAATGTAAAACTTTTCATATTAAAATCCGAAAATTTTAAATAATTGAATACCTACCCACATCATTTACATTTTATGTATTTCTATAAATTACGTAACATGGTATTTCCTCAATAAGATATTATGTAAAACTGCTTATGGACAAGAATTGAATTTTATATTTTCTGAAAAAATTATTTCATTGTATGTAAATTGGTATTTACACAGTATATAGTTTGATTTGTGTTTTCTGTTGTAAGTGAATACAAATTATTAAAGATTGAAAAAAAAATATTTGGTTATTTTAAAATAAGTAATTTATTAATTTTATACTTTAATAAAATGTATTGCAAAATGAAAAGTACACATAATAATTTTGTTGTAATTTAAATTATATAATTTGTATACTACAATAACACATAGTTTTATATTTTAGTTAGCGGCAATGTTGAATGTGGAACTCTTTTGGGAATTATGGGGCCAAGGTAGGTTGCATCTAATTTTCATGTTTAGGTACTTTGTACTTAAACTGTAAACTGTAACTTACATATTACTTTCTTTCTTTGGCTATAGCGGTTCAGGAAAAACTACACTCATGGCTACAATAAGTCATCGAACAAAGGGTCAGTAAAAAATTTGCATTAAAAAAAATAATAATAATTAAAACTGGTGTCTAAAATATATGATATTGTTTTTAAAGGAAATTTTGAAGGAGAGCTTTTACTGAATGGACGGCCAGTATCTGAAGATATTATGATAAAAATATCAGGATTCGTTGCTCAAGAAGACATTAGTTTTAATCAGTTAACAGTTTTGGAACAACTCAAGCTGATGGTTAGTATAATAATAGTCTCTGATTATGCACTGTATATATTAGTAGATATAATTATTATTCAATTATCTGTTTTATGCACACCACCAACTTCGTTCCATCATTCTCCAATAACCTTTAGCCACATTCTTTTTATCTCATTTTATCACCCTAGAAGATTTTAGGTTAGACCCTAACTCAGGGTCTCTCTATAATTTTACTTATATAGTACTAGTCAGTAAGTTGTATTAGTGTTTTTGGGCCTTGGTCTGTAATGTTACACATAATTAAATTTAAAAAAAAAAAAAATATGTACAATATAATATTATTTTTGAAGGCCAAATTAAAAATGGATCGTGGCGCAACCCACAAAGTAATCAAAGATCGTATAGATCATCTTGCAGTCCATTTAGGATTGAATAAAATTCTGGACACCCGGTTGTGTTATTTATCTGGCGGAGAACGAAAAAAAGTTGCCTTAGCCGTTCAACTCATAAACGATCCACCAATTTTATTTTGCGATGAAATAACTACAGGATTGGATAGTTACTCTGCTGCACACATAATAAATACCCTGAGGAGAGTTGCTCAAAGCGGAAAGATTGTCATATGTACTATACATCAACCAGCCTCTGGTGTGTTTGATCAATTTCAAGAAGTTATACTTTTGACAAACGGACGATTAGCTTATCAAGGATCTGTATCGTTGGTGAACGATCTTTTTCAAAAGTATGCCCATGAAATAGTCCTATATAAACTACTTACGCCCAATAATAATCTTCTTTTTTTTTAGATACAGTTATATTTGTCCTGCCACATACAACAAGGCTGATTTTATTGTATCAATTTTAAATTCTGACAGTGTGATAGATAAAAAAAATGTAAACAAGATGTGTGAACTATCGTCGACTGTAGCACAGATGGATATAAAGTATAATTCATTCAATAAAGACGTAAATAAATTTTAAATTAATTATTTTAAATCAATATTCATATCAATTTTTTAATATTATTTTGTCAGTTTTTATAGTTTAATTCTTTTATTCTTTTTTTTTTTTTATGTTTAGGTTCAGTCTGAATATGAACACCACTTACAAGCGTAAGTATTTTCATATTATGTAATTTTAGTTAACTCTATTATATTTTTTAAATTTTTGTATCAGAGAAAAGCTACATTGGATATTACAAGTATTACTTTTGCTGTATAGATCTGCTACATGTTTCATAAGAAATTATAAAGAAAAATTATTAGAATTTGTAACATTGATGGTAAAAATTAAAATTGAACAGTAGTAGATAGCTTGTATTATTAGAACAGTTTATAACAATAACTATTATGTGTTATAGTTTTTAGGTGTTATTACTTCTACTCCATATGTAAACCTACAATTTGACACAAAAGCAGTTCAAAATTGGGAAGGATTTTGGTTGTGCTTAGTTATCAATACTGTGTTTCAGTTTAGTTATTCTGCTATCCCTTTACACCAAATTAAGTTCTCGGTTGTCCACCGGGAAGTTAGTAATAAAGTTTATTCATTGAGTGCATATTACATATCAGAATTAATCGTGAATGTAAGTATGCAAAATTAATAATATTTTATTTTATTTTATTGTTCTTATAATACAAATATATATGTTGTTTTTAGTCCATCTGGTTAATGATTAAGACAGTATTTTTTTGCCTTCTTGTGTTTTGGATTGTCGGAGTCAATTGGACTTATATGCAAATTGTGGTATTTTTGATTGTAACATATGCATCATTTACATACGGTAATTAATAATTAAACTCAATGTTGCTTTTTATTTTTATTTGACACATTAAGTTAGTCAAAATGTATAATGTACTTATATGAATTCAAACAAATTTATTGTAGGGTGTTTGTTATCTGCGTCTTGTAATCGTATAGAAGAAGCTGTTGTCTATTCCATAGTTTACGAATATTTAGCATTGCCTCTCAGTGGTGCCTATTTATCTTTCAGGTAAGTTAAAAAATATACCAAATAATTATTGTTCTATTAAATTAATTGTGATTTGTCTCTTAGGTCTTTGCCAAACATATTATTTAATTTAAGATACTTGTCATTGTTTTTCCTTGGCTGCGAATCATTATCAACACTATTTTGGGATAAAATAAAATCTTTACGTGAGTATAATAATATTATATTTTAGTTAATAATATGAAATTAATATTTTTAGATATTTGTTTTGATTGTTATTCTTTAAAATATTTCAGCTTGTATCGAACCTGCTAACTGTTTGGACAGTGGAAAAGCAGTTTTAAATAAATTTGGTTTTGTCAGTGAAGATTTATATTTTGATTTAATGGTATTAATCACATTTTCATTATTAGGAAATATATTTAGTTATTTTGGAATAGTTCAAAGAATGAAAAAACAACCAGCCTATTAATAGTTTTATACTTAAATTAATTTGTTTTATTATATCATTTGCATTGGTTAACTAAGTTTCAGTTGAAATTTTTCAATTTTAGCATATTATATTATTTAAATTTCAAATAAACTTACCTACGCGTTACAATGAAAACTATTTTCAAAACTTATGTGTACTTATGTAAATGAAATATGTAATATATTTGTTATTATATATGTAAATTGACGTCTAATAATGCAATCTAAATATTTAGTATTATTAAGTTTTAATATTGTTTCTTTACTATTTGTTGTCCACCTATTAAACTATACCATCCTGACTTTTGAGTATATTAATTGTCTGTACATGTTAAAATAATTTCTATTTTATAAATTATATATTTATAAATATTTATAAATAATCTTAGTTTTACTTTAGATGTGTGAATTTTTTTACATAATTATAGAGGCTAGAGGGTATTTTTTTAAAATAACTTTTAGATCAGAAAATCTTACTTCAATCATCAACTTCAGGCATGGTTTCAGTTAAAAAATTTTTTAATTGGTGTTAATTTATTGATATTCTTTTTACCAATTTTCTGAATTACGAGGGATAAGAACAATCATTTTTTTTTATCATTTAGTGGTTCATGTTTTTATACTTATGTATATGATTATAAGTGGCAATATTTAACTAATAAAATTAAATCAATGTTACTGTTTCATTATGTTGTGGTTAAAATTTTAATCTAATGTGTAAGTAAGAAAGTTGTTATACGTTAAAAAACTGCTGTAGTTATCAATGATATCACACTTCAAAGTAGGCAGAAGTTGAGTAATACTTTGACCAATCGAGATTTCAGATCCAATTCGTCAATCCAACAAATAACAAAAAACCCGACTGTATTAAAAATATCAACTGAAAAGCGAAAATTAGGATAGTGATATACAATCGAATGAAATATAAATTTAACACAAATAAAAAAAACGATCTAATATACTCTAGTTATTTTAAATAATCAGAACAATATTAGAGGAATTAAATATTTATAATGATGTTAAAAAGAATAAGTACATTCAGTAATATTTTAAACGTTCAAACAGCTTTCAAATGTAATAATAAAATATTGTATCAGTACCTATTTATAATTATTAGACAACGAGTCAACGAAGTTTAATACGTATAGGTACAGGTGCTGCTGCCCTTCTTTTATTTTTAGATTATTTCAATTATATCATGAATAACTTCAACAAATAACCAATGGATATTGAAATAGCATATCCAAAAAAGCCAAAAAAAAAAACGGACATTTGGATATCTTTTAGATATCCATTGGACGTCATAAATATTTAATAATTAATTTTATGGATATTTGAAAAGTACATCCACTGTATAACCACTGGATATATTATTGGTGTATGGGCATCAATATCCCATCGACCATCTTCTATGGTAGTGCCTAAAAAAGCTTTTAATTTCAAAATTTTTTCTCTCTTATTTATAAATACAGTAATACCCCTTCTCGCAGCTATTAGTTATTAACGCTCTATGTCCATTCGATGAATAAGAACCGTCGGAATCAATAATTTGCTGATAACATGTTCTCGTTGTGTACCTGTATATGGTAATTCGTGTGTTTTTAATTTTTTGATTTGCTTTCCTCACTTTTTTTTTTATCATGGATAATATAATATATTTGTTTGAATACCTACATTCTATGTCTATTAATTGTTTCGTTGTCTTTTATTTTGTATCTATGTATTCTTCCATTTACTCTTGGTCCGGTATTTCTTGTATCATTTTGTATTACCTAATGATGGCGTGTGGTTAAAACATATTTTTAAATAAAAAAAATTACAATATATTATTTTAATTTTTATATTATAGTGGCTTAAACCCTTTATCATTATTTTTTTTAAATTTAATGTTTATTCATTTTTTATAATTTTTTTATCCTATTTTTGTGAAAAAGACGACGCTACACATGCATTTGTTATTATTATTATTCGTACGGCGTGTATAATAATTAACAGACAGTAAGTAAAAAAAAAAAATTAAAATTAAGAATACAAAAATAAATTTTAGATTCAATAATACAATAACGGAATTAGTTGAATTTTGATAATATAGTAGTAGTTATACATTTGAGATCGAGGTTTGTTAGCCATCGCTTTTAAATCATTGAAATTGCTCATTTTCAACAAAAAAAAAAAAAACGTTCCGTAAGAAAAAAATCAATAGTTTATTTTAATTTAAAATTAAGTAAAAATATTGTTTTAAACGAACCAAACCTAACAAGAACTTTAAAGTTAATTAGAGCAAGAAAGGAAGGGGAGTCAACAGAGCCTGATAAGAGCTTATTATGAAAACGGCAACGGTAAGCTAAGGAGGATAAGTTAAGAAGACGGAGAAGGGGAGTATAATCATGAGGGGCGCAATTAACATTCAAAGTATGCTTCATGAAGCAAAAGAATTTACGCTGAACTCGTTCAAGTTGTAAACATGCTTCAGGTTTATTATTAAAAAAATAATATCAAACTTGTACTATGCGTTTTCCTAATCACTTTCGTCTTTCAAATAAACTTTTTTTTTTATTTCATAATTAATACCTATCGAATAAAGTAAGTTTATTTTAACTACACATGGCGTTATTTTCAGTATTAATATACGTAAACAATTATATAATATATTATATATTAATATACTATGTTATCTATGCTTGCAAGCTTCTTCCATTTATATGTGATATGGCCTATAACATACGGCATAGGTTATGATAGATTTATTGGTGGCAAAATTTGTTTTTATTACTGATGAATCAAAGAAACAAACAAATGATTGTCATTCACGATTGACCATGTATGTCAAATTTGACATTAATAAGAAGTGACAATCTCAAAAACTGATATTCATAACTGTGAATGGGAGGGACCCTTACAAATTTCTCTTTCAATATAGTTACCTATTTTTTTAATATTATGAACCCATATTTGAGAATTATTTTAATTCAACTTTTACAAATATAGAAGTTTAATTTAAGTTATTATTAAACGTATTATAGTATAATATTATTCACTAATTTTTCAAAAAAAAATGTATTTTATATTAATTTAAAATGTTTTAATAGAGAATCAGTAAAAGTTAAAAGTGTGAATAGTTTTGCTAATGAAAGATTAAAAAAAAATCAATTTTATTTTGTATTAATAAATGTTACGCATTAAATTACAGGAAGTATAGCAGAATACAAGAAACACAATATAACTCAAACGAAGTTATTGAAATAAGTGATATGAAAAGTTTTAATGGTAATAAAATAAAAAAAAACAAAGCATTACATTTGGTACACACATTTCATCAAAAACTATTTTATTATCTTTGCTTCAGGAATTCAGGATGTAGTAGTGTTGGTTTTGGATATGAAGATCCCTTACGCCCTTACGGGAACGTCAAGGTATATGTAATAGTAGCAACCATTACTACTTGAGTCCGACTACGGAAATGGCAATAAAATAAACTTCAATACCTAATATTTCGTACAAAAATTTGATCACAGGTGTTTTTTTTATTATTTTTTCAACTGTATGTCAATATCATAGCTGAGAGAAGGGTAAGGAAACATAAACATAATATTATGTTACACATACGTACATAATATTATGTACTTCTCTGTGTTTCGATTACCTAGGTATGTGTATTATAGTATTTAATATTTATCTCTAACGAAAAAATTTTCCAGATGTGCTTCATCTACATGGACTTCCTTATAGGGGGGGACGCTTTCATAATGCTCCCCCCCGAGAAAAGTGGAATTACATCGGCATTTGACATTTGTACAAAAGTTGTTGTAATCAATATATTATTATTTATTTGATATCATTTCTTTTTTCTTATCAATGAAGATCTTAATTGTTATCCAAAACATTAAACATATATTCGCGGTACAATTATAGACATGACCATAACGTTCATAACCGTGATTTGTGGTCATATAATATAAAATATAAATTCCTTGAGATAACAATAAAAAGCAAATCTGATAACACTAAAACATCTTGAAAATAATAATCATCTGCTTAAATAGTACAATATATGATTCTATAATTGTATTGTATTAATAAATGTTATCCATTAAATTACAAGAAAGTAACAGTACATTACAGGAAACCCAAAATTGGTTTTTACAGCCATCGTATGACTTCAACGAAGTCATTGATCAAGTGACACGGAAAATCTTAATGGTAATGAAATAAGAGACAAGACATTACATTTTGTGCATAAATTGTATTAAAACTATTTTTATTATATATGCTTAGTACCAGACTAGTTCAACTACGTAAATAGTAATTCGATAGTTTTCGACAATTAGGATGAACTATCGAATATTTTTTTCCGTGACCGAATGCCCTTTTTAAAAGGGAGAATTATTTTTTAAATTAAAAGGACCTTTTTGGCTCCTTGGTTCTTGGGGGTTGAATTATGCAAATCCTTTCGTTAGCTATGTGTAAAATGTCTACGCCAGCGTTTCCCAACCGGTGTGCCGCGAAATATCTTGATTATTAATAAACGTAAAGTTTACGTAAGTTCCGATAATAGCTTAAAATATGTTTAACGATTCTCTTATGGGCGATTGTCATAATCTTGAATTCATAATGAATAGTATAATAAAAATTATTTTTGTTCATAATTTCTTATTAAATCGTTTTATATTCTTAAAGCTGGTTATTTGTTAGTCGTCCGTCGTGAAGCAAATATGTCATACTAACATTTCTATTTAAACCGACATTTATTTTATACGCCCTCTTTGAACGTCACTGATATTCCACGTGTTGCGCATGTATAATGGGGATCGTTTTTGTTTAATTAAGAAACCTAAATTAAGTGAGGAATTGTCTTTCCCAAATACAAGTGTTCAAAATGTTGGTGTTGGAGAATTGCCTAGTCCTAGTTCTATGGATGCCATTAAAACCAAAAATCGATCACAACTGATGAACTTAGAAAACGATATGAGGTTATGCTTGTCAGCCATACGATCACGAATAAAACTTATAATGAAGGGAAACCAGGCACAAATTTCTCATTAGGACCAAATTTGTGTTAACTAATCTTAATATATATGATTTTACACGAATTTTCGTAACCTAAATAAACACATCATTTTAAATTATTTTCTAGTAATTTACTGATTTACAACCATATTTTGGTATAAATATGGTAAAATCCTAATATAAAAACTACAAAAATACACACATATATAAATCAGTGTCAAGTGTGCCACAGTTAAATATAGGTTAGGATTAGCGTGCCGTGAGGGGAAAAGGTTGGGGGAAACGCTGGTCTACGCTTTTCTCGGCGTAAAATTTCGATTTTCCAAACACTGCTGTTTGAGCCGTGTGTTGATCCGTGTCCCGCGAGTCAGTTTCATTCATTGTATTGCAATTTATTGTTTTATAATAATTACATAGATAACGCAACAATTATGTTCTTGTTCAATACACCTCCCGCCTTGACGAAATTCTATAATTACTACACCGTTTGATTAACAATAACTTTAAAATTTTAATTTACCGTCATACGCAATGTCATCCCGGACGGGGATAAACGACGATAACCTCTAAACCGGTTTCTCGATTCCCTCCCCACTCCCACCCGCCGGCAGACTACGCATACTTATCATTCCCGCATTCCTGCAACGGACAACTCTTATCGCAACATTATGCATTATGCCGAGTAATTCTGTAATCCGATAAGACAGCATTTGATTCGTTGGGCTGTCGTGACGACCACCATCGGAATAGCGGAATAGCTGGTTATGAAAAGAGGGGTTCCGCAGCCGACGGTCAAGGTATCGGAATACCGTCGACGAAAATATCCGATACGCGTCGGGCGCGGTTCGGTGGCCACTAGTGCCCAGCACCGAATTACCCGGACTGAAAGTACCGATCCGGACTATGATTATCATTTCGGATTATGAGTATCATTCCGTAGTAGTAATCGTTATCACACGTTTACACGTTATTACACGTTAGGTTTGTGCGGGATGTTACCATTATACGTGTATTTCTTGTATTCCAGTCCAGTGGTTCACAATCACCGATCCGCGATATAAACGGTACCGGCACCGGTACTGTGTTGGAAGAAAATTATGTATTTTGTGTAGCGTCTAAACCGCGTTTTCGAACCGAAACACTGAAATACGGTCTGTAGTGGTACTGTTAACAAGCGGACGCAGTGATCCGCGACTGTAAAAGGTTTGAGGACCACTGGATTCTGGTCAGTGATATTTGTTTTGTTCTTTATTTGAATAATTTTATATGTATTTAGAAAACACACGGTTAAATGTCATTAAGCGCGCGGAGCAGACCGAAATAAAAATAAATTACGAGCGGTAGGAATATTATTATTTCATATTATAATTGTCGTGGTTGTTCGGCGTCATCGACGGCAGTTGTCTCGAAGACGGGATCCTTTCCAGATGTTCTGCGCGTTGTGTTACAATACCCCGATAATATTCTCGTACAAAACATATTTCGTGCGTTGATTTTTTTTTTTTTTTTAATAAATAATAATTCGCCCATTATCGAAGTGTAGGTCCGACCGTGTAACAACGTAGTCTACTGTATACCTACATCGTTCTGTGGCCGTCGGCAAACGTGCGTTTTCATCATATTAATTTTTTTCCCCCATTAAAATATATGATCATAATCGGTTTATTTTATCCGTTATATTATATTACATTATCGGGTTGTTTTCATTGATTTCGTCCGTTTCACGCACAGAAGATGAAACCGACGCAGTTGGATTTGCGGTACAACGAGATGTGGAAGGACTGGGACGGTACCGGCGAATGCCGCCGGGACTCGCGGGTCGACGGGCCCCGCGAGGACGGCCAGCTGGTCCTGTCCTGGAAGAGGCTGAACGTATCCGCGGAAAAGATCAAACACAAGTTTTTCGGCTCGTCCACGGTCGAGCGAAAGCAAATATTGTGCAACGGTGAGTGCAGCGGGCCTGTCGAAATATCTGTACGTCAGGGCTTTACACGAAATACACGTGTCCTGGCAAATCTTGGAAAAATTACGCCGCTTCGATTATCGGCACACAAGACGGTGGCTGTCGGACGGGGGACGGGGGCTAGACGGGGGTGCACGTCCCATTCACCACATCCCACTTTTTCCGTTCGGAACGCCACGCATGTAGTGTTACACAAAATAATGTCCCCGTGTGGGTAATATTGTTCTTACTGTAAAAATTGTCTGTCTGGGGGCGTCGTTGTGCTATTAATAAATGAAGAAAATTCCGTTTATATAATAAAGCCGGGGACGTACCTACTTCGCACTGTTGTCGGCGAAACCTTTTGCAGGTAGGTATCGGTTATTACTGATCTATGAACCGAAAACTATAATAAATCATTGCAATCAAAAACCGGTTCTGAGCGGAGTAACATCAGTGTTATTAGACGTGTATTACCCGCTTGTATTTATATAGCCAAGATAATCGATGAATTAACATATTATTATACTATGGAGTCAGATTTTTCGCGATGTACCGGTCTTTGAATTTCATATTTTGCCGGTGTAAAAGCGAATACGCCTACGGTGAAGGCCATCAGTGTTTGCGTGTAATTTAAACATGTAGTATAAAACTACATTCTAAAATTTTAAAAAAATAAACATACAAACCTATTATACTCGGTTTCGAATAAAAAATAGTTTTCTTCTTTATCTGATGTTGCAGTGAAAAGTACACACTTTACATAATGATTAAATCAAAACATAAAAAAAGAAAAAATCGATCAGTGCCACATATTTTTGAAAATGTTGAGATTATCAGTTTGATTTTCGATGTTTGATTTGCGTTATCATTCCTTAATTGGTATTTATTTTGTTCACGTCGTCGTATTTGTGTTCCTTACTCGGCAATATGAGAACGCTAAATGAGCAGTTAAGACCATGTCATAGCAACAATATTTCCGTCTTGGTCTGTCAAAAATGGGTTTTTGTACTTTTAAGTTTCAACAATAAAACACATATTATTTTACCAAATCAAAAACGACTATATGCTTTCTTCACGAGGGGATTTTTGATGATATATAATATTCATTACACAATTTTCTGTTAAGGTACAAATTTAGAAAATTTTATTTTTTATTTAAGTTTGACATACGAAAAAATCTATCGTTTATTTTTTAAAAGATTTTTTCCCGTTGAAGTAACTAGTTAATTTGTTCATACTAAATTTCATTGTTTTTTTTTTTTTTTAAACCGGACACCTAACCAAACCGTCCAAATTATGAAAAACGAGCTTAATTCTGTTTTTTTTTTTAACATAATAAAAATATATTACTTATTGGAAAAATCAATAATTTATTATTCTACGGAAGTAGGAAAATGAATTATTTTCAAGTTTGTAATCATTTTTTAATACTATATTATTGTTATGGCAGAAAAAAAAATGTATAATACCATCGATGTTAACACCGTTTTAACATCATTTTTCAAACCAGGACCAATGTAACAAAATACATTAAAGGTATATTATCAAAATGCACTTAAAACCACGAAGAAACTTTTTTGTTAAATTTTAAATTAAATTTTTTTGACAATTTGGTAAAACACAATATTTTTTTTTGAGAATGGAAAATAATCGTGGTTTCAGTATATTTTTTTTTGTTCTTAAAATCAAAAATTGTGGTGTCGTTCATGACAATTGTTTTCTATAGGTAATCTATTCTAACTGGCTTGAGTCCTTGAATTTGAATACAGATAACAAAACACATAAAAAAGGAAATATTTTCGAGGATGGTATGTTGATTTTTTTCAAAAACATTTTGAAAATAAAAACAAAAAGCTATAGCTCGGCTGTAACATTTTTATTTGGCATAAGCTTAGTAAAAAAGTTAAAAAAATGTTTGTCCTTAAATTTTGTGACCCGTGAATCAATCTAAACGCCACAATTTATGTTGTGGAATTGGTTTTCAAAATTGTTATCCAGTTTTGTAAAATTAAAAAAAAATTGTTCAAATTTAACCACCACCTTAATGATATGATGTTTTCACTAATCTACTGCTCGACACCCGTTTCAATTACTTTCAAAATACGTCAAACCCGTTCCCCATGGTTTAATTTGAAAATTATTTTTTCCGTGGAATATATGATTATTATCAAGACCATATACTAATAGTAAAGCAACCACTTTTTAATTTACAAATTTGTATGCGAGAAACTTGATTTTTGTCGATAAAACTGAAATATCTTAAAATAATAAAAAAAATATAAAAAATATACAAATACTGATATACGAATAAAATGTGTAAATATAGAATTTTTAATATATCTATTTAAATATTATAGTACCTATCGAAAATGTGTGAAGGTCATTGACTAAACACCAATCAAGTTTTTTTCAGTTATTTTTAGCGTTACATCATTAAACTCGTGTAACATAAGTTGATCTATAACATGTTTTAGTATAATTTATAACTTTAAAAAATATTCAGAGTAATCAATATAACGTAAGATTTTATCATTATCTCAGAAAGTGTAAACTTTTTTCGAAATTATTTTTTTTTAGATCATTCAAGAAATAAATAGCTCTAAAATGTTACATTACTTTTTTTTATTACCCTTATTTTAAAGGGTTAAACCATTTTTGTTTTATGGCAACCTGTATTAAAAATACCACGAATTTATGGAATATCATTCTCAATTAATTTGTTTGTTGTAATTTTTATTTTCCAACACCTCTTGACGAGATATTCCATTCTTAAGATTTGGCGGGGGAGAGTATAGTGGGGCATCGTTTATGTGGTGATGGCACGGCACGTGTTTTTTTAATTTTGTTCAACGGATTGACGTCAACACCAAAATATATTTGAACTAATACTCCATCTATTTATGGAATTTTTAGTATAGGTTATCATTTGAAAATTAAAATTATGTAGACGTGTCACCACTCAAAATAAAGGTGACGAAATAACAACCGAAATGTAATATTTTAGAAAAACATATTTTCTTAAATGTTCTAAAAAATAAATTTCGAAAAAAGTTAACACTTCCTGAAATTATGAGTGTCTGACATTATATTCATCATCTTGTATATATCTAATAATATTATGATTAAAAAAAAAAAAAAAAACCACTCCATAGTATTCAATTTCCGTTTTATACGGTACACATCTTCAATGCCGATAGGTAGAATTTTCAACCGAAAATTGTCAAAAATGTTTTCTAAAAATGTTTGATTGATCTAGAATTACTATTAATAATAATAATTATTCATTAGTTTCATCAATTAGATTACAAGAATAAAAAACAATAAATTACCTATTCTTTATATGTAAAATCGACATCATTACTGACCGAAACGCATTCTAACGATTTGAGATTTTTCGGATTATATTTTTTCGCTCCGGTCGCCTGTGTTCTTTTCGCCTGTTTTCACCTGGAGTTCGGTCGCCTTTGAATTAATGCGACTTATCTTTTGTGTTATACAATTTCTAGACTGTTCGGTCGAACCACTCAGCCGAGGAATAAATTTAACTATGAAAAACGTTATCAGTGGCGCCGAACTCGGGGTACAGGTACACATTTTTCGATGATATAAATGCGTGGATCGTGGACGTTTAAAAAACGAAGACAATAATATATAAATATATAATATGTGGCGTAAAAAACGGACAGTTAAGTATTTGGCGCAGCCATACGGGCCGATAAATGAATAAACACGAAATTTGAACTAAGCCGGGTGTTAGTTTATAAGTTGGTCATTATAGACACTGTGCGGAGCGAGGAATGTGTCGATTTTAATATGATGTTTATTTGTATTTGTTTATTTTTCTGTGGACAACTTTTCTACCAAAAATTTTGCTCAGTTTTTCAATTATAACCATCGGCGTACGCACAGGGCGTGCCGAGTGTGTCCTGGACACTATGCGGAAATCGTGTAAAACCATTTTTTTTGCTTTTATGTTGACATACGACAACAGTAGGTACAAGTTTTATATTTTGTAAAATTGACATTATTTTTTCCCCTTGATTTAAAATTTCGTTCATACATTTCGACTTCAACGCCAATTTAGTTTTTGTCATCTACGACTGTGTTAATAGATATACTGGCTAGATTGTAATTATCCAAGTTATTTATTTATAGACTATGATTAACGATTGAAGATTACAAAGAAACTTTTACTTTTTTGCAGTGTACGATTTTTAATTAGGTAATTGATATTAACGTGAAAATTGATTTTTAAAAAAAGTGCATAGAATTAGTTGTTATTTTGTACTATCTAGTATTGAAAGGCAATACAAGTTTATTGAGAGCGGGGATCCCCACCTAATTAATTAATTTTTCTAGGGCACTATCCGAAATAAAAATTCTGCGCACGCCTACGATATATAGCACTTTTTCTAAAAGGAAATCTGAATGGGGTAGTACTTTAGGGAGGCTATATTTTGATTATCCTATGGGTTTTTCCCAAAAATCGGAAAAAAAACTCGATAAAACCGGGAAAATAGGCACGGTGTTAAACAAACATTATTAAAGAAAATGTATAATATGCTTATGTAATTATTTCACCATAATGTGACGTGTACATAATGTTAAAAAAAAAAAAAAAAACATCATTATTAATCGAACTCCGTTCAGAATCGTTTTTTTACGTTTCGCAAATGTTTTATCGTTGCGATACTGCGCAACGTTACATTTTCCTATATCCGTTTTGTTTTTGTTATGACGCACGTATAATCACAACCCCGGGAGAACCAGTAGAATCCCGAAATTGTTACGTCCAACGTGTGTGTGTGTGTGTGTGTGTTTGTGTGTGTGTGTGTGTGTGTGTACAAGTACATTATTGTATTTCCGCGATTATGTAACGAAATAAAATTAGAAAATGTTATTTGAAAACCGGTTTCCACTATGCGTCCCATCGATATTGATGTTCAGTTTATATTCGTTTTATTTTGTACGATATTTTTACACGCGTTACCGACTGGACGCCCGACGCATGCAGCTCAGTTACAAAAACAAAACATCCTCCAGGTGAATTTACCTCGGTTACTGCAGTTCGCGCGTGTTCGTATTGGTCTCCGGTATTTCATTCTATACGTGTTATCCACTTTACCCATGCGTTAAACGTAATGCGGGTAGTATAGGTAAACCATATTACGGATACTGTGCCGCAAAGTGGAAGAAGAGCCTTTGCACTTCGAAGCACATACGGGTTTCGGTCTTGTTTTGGATTAGGAACGTAGCGAGGGATCTATTGATTTCGATTTGATTATGACGTGTGTGTGTGTGTGTGTGTGTGTTATTTTTCTTGTTGAGACTTTTATAGAAAACGTGTACCTTCCTTCCTTTAATGTGGTAACATTTATTCAAAATATTTTGGTGACTTGCGCTGTTTGTAGGCAATAAATCATACGTTTGCCCGTTTCTTATGACATTTTTATTTGACAGGTACTGTGTAGATACACTCGTTTGACCGAACATTAATGTGCTTTAAAAGTTATACAGAAGGTTTTTTATAAGTCGTGCTTAGTTGTCCAAAAAAGAATACAATGCTGTCGTAATTTTTTTATTATTTTTTTTTTTTTTGCACTATTTATAAAATTCTATCAGGAGTGTTGCTCCGATATATCAAGTGTAGCGCCTTTTCTGGAAAATAATTTTATCTAGTTGATGCTTAAAGCAGGTACTTATTCAATTTTTTACGTAGTTTTGATAATAATTGTGAAAAACCGGAAAATTTATGAAAATAATGCTTTTATTATTTTCAATTTTGTTTTTTTGTTGTAATTCAAATCAATATTTTCGTAGATTAGTTGAAATTTAAACAGAACATTTATATCTGTCTTTCCTAGATGTGGTGAAAATTTCAAAATAAGTCATTTTTGAGTCATTTATAGAAATTTCAACTTTTCGAGTTTTCTACGTAATTTTTACTTTAACGAACTTCACTCAGAAGTGTTTTTCATTGCTTCTAGATATAAATCAAATAACTTTATGTATCCTACCTTCCCAACTTCACAAAATACAAAAATTACACGCCCATCAGAAGTGTCAGCTCTTTTTTATGTGTTAAATCGTTTATACACATAGAGAACACTAGGGCGGTAGGTATGTTTCGTGAACAATTTAAACAAAATAAGACGGACATACTTCGCATGTGGGTACAGCCACTGTTGTAGGTGAGAAGTTCGGAAGGTATAGGATATAGAGGGGAATTTAATGTATATCTGTACGCAACGATCAATCTTTGCTAACGAAAAACGATTCTGAGCAGAGTTCGGTTGTTTGAAAGGTTGTAATACTTACGATTTGAAAATAATATAATTAGTAAATTTTCCCGTTTTTTCCTGAAAATCACTGGAAAAATCATCAATAAGAAAAAGTGCTACGCTTAAAAATCTGAGCGAAATTTCTGGTAGAAAAGTTGTTCACAGAAAAAAAAAAATGAATAAACATAATAGTAAAACCAATAGGTACATTTCTCGCTCCACTCAGAATTTAAAAATACATAATTCTTTTTAACATCATTAGCTTAATATTCTATAGCAATTGTGCGTATCGTTTTTTTTTCTACTGTATACTGATACTAACAAATTTCTTAGAACTCTTAAACAAGTAAATGTTTTAATATTAAATGATTTTTTTAATTAAAACCCATTAATAATATGATCAATCGTTTGCAGTCTATAATATTATCGTATTCGTTAAAAAAATATTAAAAACCAATACGATCCTAATCTAAAATATTAATTTCATTTTTTCTTTTTGTTTAGGTAACCATGACGTTATATAATTCCATAAAAAATAATTATTAGTATTCCGGGAATAAAAGATTATACGTCCGCTCAATCAATATGGTTTTTAATTTCACGATAACAAATTAAATACAAACACGTGAATCGTGTGATAATATTGACCCGGCACTTTTAAATTTACTTATAATTCCATGAATCTGGATATTTTTGAGTCGATAAATTTTCGTATTTTTTTGGCTACAATACGATTGAGAATGTTCGACCTTTTTTAGCGTACGATTTAGAACGAAATTATGTGCAACGTTGCCGAACTATATTCAAGTCAAAACCCATAAATAAATTATGAAAAACTTACGTAAAATTTCTAATAAAACGGTACTTGTGAAAGTTCCAAACAATTAAATTTTCACCACGTTCAGAAGATATAAGTCTTAGTTATTTTCCATTTTTTTTTTCACACATAATACGCATAATACAGGAAACCACGTGCTGAGTTGCGATAATGCGTATATTTTTATTGTTCGTTTCAAACAATTGGTTATTGTAACATTTATGTAGCTAATTATTATTGATGGATTCAGTAATATGTTATTTCAAACAGCAGCAGATAATCATTAAACTCGGTAACGATACAAGAAATATAAATATTTTTGGTTAAATGTTCAGATTACCACATATTTAGCAACGCGCGTGGAATTATAACAAAACGAGCGTTCTTAATCGTAATAGTCAAAAGGGTCTAAAAAAACGTATATCCACGATAATGATCATTCTGAATCGTATTTCTGCCATTATTTGTTTGTTTTTAATTACGTTTAAATTGTCTATTCTCACTACGCGAACCCACACAAATTGGGCTCACACCGTCCGCCTAAGTTTTAGATACAATACTGCAGCGGCGCAGCCGCTCGTATTAATATTTTAACACGTTGTTTATACAATTATAAACAATTAAATTGTTAATACTTTCGTCTTATGGGCAGGTACATTAGTTTTTAACTACTATTTTAAGTTTATTGTCTTACCGATTTTCTTGTACAATATTCTGTTCTCGTTTTTACAGTCAGCGGAAACGCGCAGTGCGGAAATCTTCTAGGAATAATGGGTCCAAGGTAATATCAACGTTCAATAATTCTACATCGTATAATTTACTGTTATTTTACATTTGTATTTCGTCAAGTACGTATCTAAATACCTACGCCCCGGGCGGTTTTATTTGTTTCAGCGGTTCGGGGAAGACAACGTTGATGGCCACCATAAGCCACCGGACCAAAGGTAAATGCAGACTGTTGCAGATGGCGAGTGTTTGTCGGGAGCGACGCTGTTTTCATAATGAAAAATCGGACGGATTTTCCTGTTTTTTTTTTTTTTTTCTAAATTTCCTTTTCCGGCGTTTTTAGGCAATTTCGACGGGGAACTACTGTTGAACGGCAAACCGGTGTCGGAAAAAGTAATGATAAAAATTTCCGGTTTCGTACCGCAACACGACATCAGCTTCGAGCAGTTGACCACTTACGAACACTTGCACCTAATGGTTTGTATTGATCACGGTTGTTGATCACGGGTTGAGACAACCATGGTTTTGATTTATACTATAAATCGAATTATTTATATTCGTATCTCGTACGAGTGGCTGCATCCGAATCGGATCCCGGATCAAAATGGTTTTGGTAGGCAGTAGACTAGTTGTGTCTCAATAAATTTTGGGTACTATACTAGTTGGGTCCAAACGTTTACAAGCAATACAAACACTTATTTTCCTTCTCATTTTTACAGACTTATAACTGTCAGTGATTTTTAGTTTAAAATAAAACGCAATAAAAAATTGCTTGTTTTGCCAGATGAATTAATATTGTGGAAAACATTTAGAAAGTGGTCTCCGGTCGTTCAATGAATACCTACAAATTTAATGTACTTAATATAAAAAAAAAAAAAATTGCAAAACATGTGTCGGTTTAATTTCATTTAATACTAATGTAGTAAATGTACTTGTGTAAAAATGTACAAGAAAGCGTTTTGACAAAATCAAGTTTTATTTTTCTAAATTTATTATCTATATTAGTTTATTACTAATAACTAATAAGTTATTACGTTAATATGGCACTATTAATTCGGGACCCAACTAGTGTAAAACCTGTGAAAATCCGAGACCCAATCAGTATAGTACTCGCATTAACTCGGGACTCAACTAGAGAAGATTTTTGAACGCGGGACCCAACTCCGATGCACAGGTACGAGTAACTAAGTACTGCACAGCGTTTATTTTAAGGGATCGCGTATAGGCGATTTTAATAAATTTAAACCGATCGATTCAAAAATACATATTAGTTTACTATAATAGTCATATTTTTACTCTCAACCGAATTCATGACCAGTACCGCCGTCTTTATCACGAGTATGAAATTCATTCAAAACACGTTCGCGCTAAACAAAAAAGAGTACCCTTTAAAGCAATTTTAGAGGTAAAACACATGTCTCATAACTGAAGGCGTGATAGAGGGCAATACTATCCGAAGGAATCTCATATACAATATCGTTTTTCAATTTGTTTGTAAATATCTGTATGCCTACTTATTTTTCAGCCAGATAGTTTGAAAAAAAAAAAAATCTCATTATATAATAATAATATTATGCGATTGTCTTCGAAATATTGTAATACATTCTCCCGATTCAGGCCCATTTCAAGATGGACCGCCGAATGTCCAGCCAAACGATGGAAGAGCAAATCGATCACTTAGAGTCCATGCTGGGCATGCGGACGGTGATGGCCACGAGACTGGAGTTCCTGTCGGGCGGCGAACGTAAAAAAGTGGCATTGGCCGTCCAACTGCTCAACGACCCGCCCATACTGTTCTGCGATGAAATCACCACGGGCCTGGACAGTTACTCGGCCGCGCACATCGTCAACACGCTCCGTTGCATCGCCCGGACCGGCAAAATAGTCATATGCACGATCCACCAACCGGCGTCCGGCGTGTTCGACAAATTCGACGAGGTGGTCTTGTTGTCCAACGGGCGACTGGCCTACCAGGGCCCCGTGCCGTCGCTCAACCGGCTATTTCTCGAGTGTGTATTCTACCGCCTACACGGTGGCAATGTATAGCAAAAGTATGCGAAGGGTACAGGGAAAAAACTAGAATAGTCACTTTTTTTACAAAATGCCGATATCGGTATCAAATAATTTGTATTGACGTGCCGTATCTTTTATGCGATCGAAACGGCGAAAAGACCAGATTAGTAGAAAGTAATGAATGCCAGAAATTCAGGCCTACAGAAAAAAAAAAAAACAGATAGTCAATTTATAACTATGGTATGTGTTGGGTTAATGTACGGCTATAGCCTTTGTTAATAGTATAATATAACATTATTATGTTGCGGTTGCTACATTAAACTTAATCCGAACTTTTTATTTTGCAAAAAAAAAAAAAATTGTTACGTTTTAAAATTAAAAACACGTTTTTCTCAGTTTGAAAAAAAAATGACTTATCTGGTTTTTTCCCTGTACCCCTGTATCCCTTGTATCCCTTGTATCCCTGTACCCCTTCATGTTTGAAGTATCGAAAAGGGTATTTTTTTAATGTAACCATATAATACTTTGTCTAAATCACTATGTATAGTTCATGCGAAAAACGTATATAATGGGTAGGAATACAAATAAAAAAGTTCCTTACGTGTTAGCCACTGTTGTAGGTGGATATTCGGACAGCTAGGATACAAAAAGTATTTTAGTTTGTAAACTGTATGCAAACGGTAAAGCATTACTGATGAATGTGAACGGGGTAGTATTAGTCGTAATTTTCGCTTGTTGTTTAGGACTTTAGGTAACAACAAAAATATAAAAATACCTAGGTATCAAACTGCTGAACATTTCGATAAATCTTTAAAATAAAGTACCACCGACAGAAATTCCGTATTTATAGAAGCACTGTGTGCGTCTTTTAACGTGTATGCCATGAAAAAATCTGAGCATTTTTGTTAACCATAAGTGTTTTATGAAAATCGTAATGAAAAAAAAATACTTCGATGTACTCAGAATTTACACCACTCAAATTATTTGTGCAATACCGGATTCATCACTTCATTACGTGTTTTTTTTGTAGATATAATTATGAATTTCCGGACATGTACAATAAGGCGGACTTCGTAATTTCCATTCTCAATTCAGAAAGCGATGCCGTCAAAACGAACGTTGACAAAATGTGCAAGATATCGTCGACGGACAAACAGATCGACCTGAATTACGGTCTATTCAACGAACAAGTATGTAAAATAATAATGGTTCTTCGATATTAGTTTTAATATATTATGGTCCTGAGGGATATTTAATCAAGCGTCTTCGCCAGAGTGGATCAGGAAGAGAAAAAAAACGGATATTTTATTGTACTCGTGTGTCCCGTTAATAATATTTACCGTTAACCCACAAGCGTGAGTCCTTAACTATGAAAAAACTTCGATAAATTAGACCTAACATCTGTAAATAAAATATTAGACTATGCTCCGAATCAGAAAAATTTTAAAATATTGAACAGAATAAAAATTATTTCTGGTGTCAGATTTTCGTGTTAGACCCTTTACATAGTAGGTCAAGTGGGAACTCTTTTGACTTTTGATAAATAAATTATTATTAAATAACCAGTACGTGTTATGAAAAATAATTTGTTAATGTACATTTGCATTTAATGGCACTTTGGCAGTGGTGTATTCAGAAATGCCTAATGGAAGAAGATTTAGTGAATAGTAATCATCACGAATTAACCGTAGAATCTTGTTTTATACCCGTAAATAACTATTTAACCTGGAAATGAAAAACTAAAACCCAGATAAAAAAAAAAGCCAATATACAATAAATCGAGGTTTTCTTCTATAGCTTAGCTGAATATATGTGTACATTTTTTACTCTAAATTAATAAATAAATACACGTAGTATTTTTAAGCCCATAGTTGAGGGACATATCCCTCAACCTCCCATCCTTCTGCGAACATCATTGTACCATAGGCTATAAGTTATTTTTCTATACTATTTATAGTTAGTGTTGAATCCAGACAATTCTTCTGAGGGGGGGCATCACTAAAAATTATAGTAATGACCTTTCTTTTTGCATATCTACCCTCTTAGTCAAATTTGTTTTACTATTAAATTACTTTATCCAAATTTAACAGGGGGCGAGCGAAATTCCAGGGAGGGCTATCGCCCTCTCTGTCATATACCTGGATTCAACACTGTTTATAGTGATGCATTCGAGATTTTCCCCATTTTACACCTATTATATTATTATTTTATGATGGTGAATTGCTTATTGCACTTAACAGACTTATTTAAACACATTTTCAGAAACAACTGGATTATTCACGGCATTTACAAATGTGAGTATCCACACACATTTTTAACTATTCATAGTTTGTGAGTGGTCTGAAATAGTGAAAATTATTTATTTTAGAAAAATAGTTCTCACTCTCCAGAATTTATTGTAATAGGTGACCTTATATTTTTTAGACAAAAACCATTATGGAACACACAGTTAAGATTGATCCTAAAAAGGTCTTCGATATGCATCTTAAGAAACTACAAACTTAAACTTTTAGAATTGGGAACTATACTGGTAATTACTATAATATTTATTAATTGTTTGACCATTAATAATTAAAATTGTTTTTAAAACAAATTAATTTTTTTTTATTTTCAAATTATATTATAAGTTGTTCTGTATAATTATAGGCAACAAATTAATCTTATAAAAGCCTATGTAGGAATATTCAAAGTGTTTATTCCCTTGAAAACTGATATTTAAAATTCGGATTGTATCGAGTTATACTAATTGTACCTAAAGTGGGGTTGTAAATTCTGAGAGTAGAACAGAAAAAAAAAAAATTTATATTGAATGTTGTACTTAAAAAAATTCTATGTATGTAAATTCATGTATTCATAATTTGTCCAGTTACTTTTTAATGCATATTCTTTTAGTTATCATTACTATTAACATTATTTATTTAGTAGGTACTTTAGATAAGCGATTTTTTGAAATTGTCTGTGTAATCCCTCAAAACTGTTGAAAAAAATATAAATGAAATTTAATAATATATTAATGAAGAATTTAAATAATTTTTAAAATAATTACTTTGAACTGAACAGATACTTAAAGATACTTAACAATTCATTATAATGTAAACCAATATTTAATTTGAACACATTTATAGTTCCTTGGACTCATATTATCATTGCCATATCAGAACCTGAAGTTCGACGCAATAGTCGTTCAAAATTTACAAGGATTTTGGTTCTGTTTGATTACAAACTCGATATTCCAGTATTGTTACGTCTCGATTATCACTTACCAAACCGAGTTTTCGGTTGTTCACCGAGAAGTCAGTAACGATATTTACGCACTAAGCGTATACTATATTTCTCAGATTATTATAACGGTTTGTTTGTTTATACATTATAAAAAAATAGAGAAAAATCACGTTTAAATGGAGCAAATGAAAAATAACGATTTGTTTACAGTTTATTTGGACAATTTTAGAATCGTTGATCTATATATTTTTGGTGTTTTGGATAGTCGGTATTGAATGGCATTTGTTGCTGGTGACAACATTCACGATCATTATGTTGACATGTAGAGCCTATGGTAACGGAAAAAAAAATTCATTATGAAATCGTACGAATGATTCATTTTTTTAATTTTGTATATTATAGGAAGCGTATTATCGGCTTTTTTCGAAAAATTGGAAAATGTCGTACTGTTTTCATTGATATACGACTATCTCGCCATTGCACTCAGTGGTGCCTACTTGTCACTTGGGTGAGTACATCATAATCTTTTTCTATTACACTATGAGTATTATACAATAATATATTATAATATTATTTATTATTTATTATTATTATTATTATTATTATCTATTATTTAAACTTTCTTGTTTTAGATCGTTGCCACCTGTATTGTATTATTTGAAATATTTTTCGTTATTCTATTTGGGCTGTGAAACGGTGTCTATTTTACAATGGCAACATATCACATACATACGTACGTATACTGGTGTACTTAGTCACTAAGGTATACTTAATAATTTTGTAGAACTAATAATCATTATTCAGGGATGAGATGTTATGGAAATTACACATTTTTGTCTCTGTATCTTTTATATTCATAGTTGTGTAGGTGAGCTAAAAATCTTATGTCAGATGACCTAAAGAATTTGTGTTGTAGCTTTTTATTGCATGTTCTGAAAATATTCTATATTCATTTTGTGCATTTAAATGCATTTGGTATATTTAGTATTATTTAATCTATATTCTACTTACCTTCACAACTTTCCAACAACTGCCCTTTTTTCATATTTCGTTTTTGTTTTTTGTAAATACAGGCTGTCCTATGAAGATTGAATATCTCCGGAGATAATAAAGATTATAAAATTCTGTTTTTTATATTGCTCATAAGGATGAGGACTACAAATATTTATATTCTACTAATAATTCTACTAATCTGTGTGAAAACTGATGGTATCGTGTAACGCGGTTAGGTTATTTCCTAGATAACATCGGTTTTCACACAGATTAGTAGAATTTAAAACGGCTGTTACTTAGAAACTATCCATCGGATATAAATGTGTGATATATTAAAATTTTCAGAAAAATAGATTTTACAGAATGTTTATCTTAAAATTTTCAAAAATAATATAATAAAGTTATGTTTTGAATTTTGTTAATAAAAAAAAAATATGTAATTCAAATATAAATATTTGTAGTCCTAGTGCCTGTGAGTTATGTAAAAAAAAAGAACAGAATTTGATTATCTTTATTATCTCCGGAGATATTCAAGAGGTATATCTTCGTGGGACAGTCTGTATATTTATATGCTGTATTTCTATGCAAATAATGATGACCTTATAAGTTATAATCATTGCAAAAGTTATTGATCATGAATTGTAAAATTCACCATTTTTTTTCCGTTTGTTTACAGCATGCTTAGACGTCAATAACGACTGTCTGCGCGATGGCAAGGAAGTATTGATGAATTACGGTTACAATAGTGACCGGTTCTACTTAGATCTCATAATTTTAGTATTGTTTTATTTCACATTGTACGCGTTTGGATATTATGGATTGCTGAGAAGAATAAAAAAACAACCGGCGTATTGAAATAAAAAAAATTTGAGGCATTTTGTTTTACTATTGATATTACATGTGATAAATAATTTATAGTACAAAATACATATATTATATAATATGTATTAATTAATTACTATTTAAAATTATTGAATTTTTCTCTTTGTAAAACCATTGATTATTGTATTGATTTATCTATTGACTAATTTTTTATAAGACGTATAATATTAAGTACATTAAATTGTTGAAATGTCTGGAATAATCATATTACAAATTCATTACGGTATTATTGATAAGCTGAGTCTAGGTAATAATTGTTATTGGAAAAAAATGTTCATTTAAAACATTTAAAATATTTCTAAATAGGAAATTCTTGATAGATATTAATTGAGTTCTAAACAAACAACAGGAGTTCCGGAATAGTTTGTGCTGTCAGAGTTAATTTTTAACTAGGTATGAAATAAATAACAATTTAAGGAGTGAGTGGACAAAGATAATGTTAAGTGACATTTTTTGAAAAGCGGTTTTTATTTTATGAACGAAAGTGGTGGGGTACATTACATATTTTAGCAAAATATTAAATCAACAGAATCATTATTTTCGATAATTCGCAGTTGATAAAGGTGAAATCTCAACATTATTATCTATTATATTAACCCATTCTCTGAATAGCATTGAAATATTTTATGTTATTGATACTTAACACCTTTGCTTACTTAAAATAGTTTCTTTGTAATTTTAATTTTTAGTACAGTATTAATAATACTATGTTAAAATAATGTTAGTTATAATATTATTATAACTTCAACAAATACATTTTTTTCAAAAAGTACAAAAATAATAAATATAAAAAAGTGTAAAAAAAATTCTAAAAGTAAGGACAATATACGTATAAAATTTAATTGTAGAAACCAATGAGTTAAAAATGAAAAAACACATGTAGCCGAGAATGTATTATTTTTACTGCAAAGATGTTTTTGAAGAAAATTGTTTGGATATTCTAGCGTACCTCTACTTCTCTTCTAAAGAGAAACGCATGGGACGAGTTATTATTTAACTTTACCTATTTTTATAAAATTGTTTAAATGTTTGTGTTGATTATTTAAATCGTACAAAATGTTCTAATATTTATAAAATATGTTGATATCTTATAATTGATTCTGATAACTGATAAATAGCTTTCAATGATAACCTACTATCATATAAATTAAGGTAGTTAATTAAATTAGTTTATATGGTAATGTAATTTAATGAGTACCTCTACTACTAGTACCTCCAAGTTAAGCACTGCATTAAATCATATACGTATATAAATAGTGTATACAAGTATACATTGCAACATTTTGGAGTTTTTGAAAATTGTGCTGTTGACAAAAATGCATAGAACCCTGTTATTATTTATTTTTTATAGAAGTGGTCTGTAGTTCACGTCGTGTTAATACAGTACTAAATATCTACAATATGATAAATTAATCTATATAGTATAATTCATTACATAATGTGTTTCGTAAATTACTTACTATTGCAGAACACATTAAATAGGTTTTATACTTTTATCTTAGAATATATTGATTTTTTTTGCTGTAGCGACTTTGTAAATAGTATTTCCTTGAGAAGGGAGTAGAACATTTTTTTGATGGTCTTCAATTTATGTCTCATTTTATCAGAAAATTAATATTCTTATTTCAGCTTGTTTTATTAATATATAATATTATAGGTTAAAGTTTTTTTTTTAAGCATAAACCATTTATAACTTGAACTGAGACCAATACATTTTTCTTTTCATTCCAAGGGAATAAATTTCCCATAAATATGCCACTGAAGTGTTGTATGGGTTATATTTGAACGGTTTTTGCCAACCCGTGGCTGCTGTCGACCGAGTAGATATCTACCTATCGAAGTATAATATTGATAAATTAATTAATAAATAAACTAAATATCTATATAGGTACAGGATTATACTCTCTAAGGAGATGAAGATGGTTGCACCAATGTTACATAGTTACAATGTTACATATTATGTATTTATATTTTATAGATACGCTGTGGTTATACTTTTACGTTATATCCAAGTAACAATTTAGGACGTATTATAATAAAATGACTTAATATATTTATATACTTATAATAATTCATGAAATAATCAAAATTCTACTGCAAAGTAGGTACCTATATGCTGTAACATTTGTTTTGGTTAATCTAGTAACCTAAGAGAAAAAAATAAATCTAAGTCACAGTATTATGGAGGTAATTTTTTTTTTTTATTGAAGTATAATACTAATTATACAAGGTGTTATTTTTATCATGAACTAGCAATTGTCTCAGAAGATTGTAAGTGAATTTTATTTCTGTTTTTCTTATCATAATGGAATATTTTAAGCTTTATTTTAAAAGCATTTTTAATTTTTTACCTCTACTCCATATACCTTAAATAAGTTCATACTTTTAATTTTCAAATAGAAACCCCTCCCTTTTTTGAACATAGATTTGAATACAGAATATTTTTCTAGACATTTTGATATGCTAATAACACTAATATGAGATTTACCGTTTATGAGCTATAAAAGTTTAAATCTTAGACCGGAGAAGTAGGGAAGGGTTATAGTCTTATAGATAGGCAATTTATTACCCTTCCCTACTCTTCTGGTTTAAATTTTAAACTTTCATAACTCATAAACGGTTAATCTGATAATATTATATATATCAAAATTTCTAGAAAAATATTCTGTATTCAAATCTATGTTCAAAAGAGGGAGGAGTTTCTATTTGAAAATTAAAAGTATGAACTTATTTAAGGTATATGGAGTAGAGGTAAAAAATTAAAAATGGTTTTAAAATAAAGCTTAAACGGTTCCATAATGATGAGAAAAAGAGAAATAAAATTCACTGAAAATCCTGTGAGATAATTGCTGGTTTATGATGAAAAAATCACCCTGTATAATCAGTATTGTCGTTTTTCGTAATGCGTAGGTGACAGAATATAATATTTTAAAATTGATTAACGACCAATAATATATCATGCAGTGCGTACCTATATATTATATACGAACATTTAATTCGTTGTGTAACGAGATATAGCCAATGTAATTCGTGTTTTTTTTTTCATTTAAAAAAAAAAAAATCTTATATAACACAAACAAAGTTTGCCCTATGTAACAGGCTCGAATTAACATACAATTCATATAGTATTGCATATAAATCAATTCAGCGTGTCTGCACGTGTGGTCCGATGTTCGTACGGTTATAGTATTATTGTAAGTGTTGATTCGAGGTTTTCTTTTTCGAGTATCCAAATGGATCATTTAAAAGGCCACGTCGCCGTTTTAACGGGAGCCAGCGCCGGCATTGGAGCTGCCACGGCAATTAAACTAGTAAAGGCCGGTCTTATCGTTGTGGGTATTGCCAGGAGGCTTGAACGACTTCAGGTAGGTCAACATAATAACATTCACATCTGATCGCTTTTAAGCATGATTTAAAATCGTAAATTAGAATATTTCAATCGCTGTAATATATCGTTAACCCAACACCAAAGTTTCTTGGTCTAAAAGACTGTTTTAGAATTTTGGTTCAACAATCAGATAAATTCGAAAAATTAAATCTTTTTCTTTTATCGCTCGTGAACAATTTCAAATTTTTTTTTATATCTAGTTTGTTGCTCCAGTCGTTCAAAGTCTTCCATCACTCATTAAAAGTTGAATCAAAAGACATAAACATTTGATTACAATATACAATACTTACCTAACTACAATCATTTATAATTATTATAGAAGAAAAAAGATGTACAATTTTATTCAGATTAGATAGAAAGCCTATTTATTATTTAGATCTAAAAACAAAGTTTACAATTCGTCAAAATGTGGGGCTGTATATTGTTTTAGATATTGAAAAAATCAATGGAAGAAAACAATTTCATCGGTCGGTTTTATCCATTAGTGTGCGACGTAACAGACGAAAATGACATACTCAACGCTTTTAAATGGATTGATGAAAATATCGGTGGTATACACTTCATGATCAACAACGCCGGAATTATTAGAATATCTCCAATTATGAGTGAGAACACATACAACATACCTACCATACATAACCATTTTTTTTAAAGGAAAAACATTTGTATCTTAATACTAAATAATAAAACAAGCTAAATTACTGCTGTCGAGTGTGCCACTGTTGTAGGTGGGAAGCTGAGAAGGTAGGTAGGTATACAGATTAAATCAATTTATGCCTGTACGCAACGATAAATTATTGCGTATTATAAAATGACTTTGAGAGAAGTTACCTTTTATGTATTTTTAAATGCCATGATTTTACGATTTACGTTAAATGTGAACTTAAAACCATCATAAAATTCACTAAATTACACTAATCTTTAATTTGATTTTACCACGAAGTATAATTTGTAATTAAATTTTCGATGATTTTTTCTACTCCAAAAGTACTTAGAACAGTGGCTTACCTATACAACGGCACGTCCACATTTTTCTATTTTTTAATTAGATATTTAATCGTGCGTGCATTATATTTTAATATACATGCAAAACCGAACTTTTTACGTGCATCGAAGTTAATTAAAAAAATACAATTAAAATACGAGTATATTCCCCGTTCCGCTCGGAATCTAATAATCCGATTGTGTTTTACTCTGTCAAGTTTTAAACAATTTTATTTAAATCATTTTGTATTTTGACCACGGTGTACAGGCGGTGCTACAGATAAATGGGAAGAATTGATCAATTGTAATGTAATGGCGCCAACAATTTGTTCGAGAGAAGCGTATAAACTGATGAAGAAATATAAAGTTAACCGCGGACACATTATCCAAATCAACAGGTGGTTTATTCCGAATCCGTAGATAATTTATTTCAATAACATTAATATGTATTATAGTAGCCACCGAACGTATACAATATAACGTATATAATTCAATTTGGTTACAATTGGTTTGAATAGTGTTTTTTTTTTTTTTTTAATGATTTCAGCATTACAGGTCACTCGTATTCGGTTAATCCCGGTAACAAAATGTACAACGCGTCCAAACAGGCACTTAGAGTGTTAACAGAAGGACTTCGCCATGAATTGGCCGCAGCGGGGGATTTTCACATCAAAGCTACGGTGAGTAGAATACAATTCAAATTTAAATCATATCGTCCAAGTATATGATTACCCAATATGGTTGCCCAATTTAAAATTATAAAATACGGGGGAAAAATAAAAATTATTTATGTCAATCATATTATGTGAAACTCGTAACAAATTTTTCATTAAGTACCTTGAGTTACACAACTGTAACTAATATAACTATAGAATGTGCTTAAATATGTCGGTGAAGGATGAGCTTTTATTTTAATATTGGTTTTCTAAATCTCTTTGTTACCCATATTTTTGTAGGTGAACGACAACCTACTTTTGATTTTCAAATGTCAAACTATACTAAAAATTACATAAATATCTGGAATATTAGAATAGTTAATTATTACAGAAAAAACATCTTCATCTTTAAAAGACATTTATTAATTTGATAAATTGAGCTACAGTCTTAATAATTAATTTTTAGTTTAGTATTTTATTTTTTAGCAGTTATTCAGATATTCAGAGTTTGTAGTTAATATGTAATAATATAATATGTACAATTATTATTGTATACCTTTTTATTGTTATTATTTATTTCATCATTATTATAATATATATATATATTTATTTTTTTTTGGCGTTCAAATATCCCTCGCGTCTATGTGTGGCGGCATCCATATGGCGGCGTGGCGGCGTCTAGACGGCCGCGTCCATTCGTCCTAGATCCTTGTTGACAAGAAATCTCAATTTTAAATTGTGGTAGGGGGAGAGTAGTGGAGCACTCGAGCATCATTTGTGTTTTAAGGGGGTCCCAGTCCGTCATTATCTGTAGGGTTAATAATTAGCCCACTAGCCTTATAGGCAGGTATATCTCGGTCATGTCAATGTGTGCGAGTGTAAATGAACATTTGTGTATGTGTGCTACACACCGCACGTATCTCAACGTGCCGCCACGGCCTATAACCAAATTTGGAATTTATTTTGTGTGCTATTTTAAATTTTAACGATAATATTTTGACAGAAACAAACAATAAACTATGTTAATTATAGTGTACGCGCGTGCAACGAACACTACTATAATTGTAATATAATATTATTTGGCACTATTTATAAATGTATAATGAACACACGATAAACCCAATCATCGTCAGTGTTTTTTTTTATATTTTATTACAACGATTTAGTACGTCAACTACTATTTAATATTATTTATTTTTTTTTACCACAAAGTACAACTTATAATGGACTACTTATTAAATTTCCAAGTATTTCTGTTTGGTCTATTCGCATAGTACTTATACCACATAAAACCTAAAAAAAAACGACGTCCCTAAATCCATTACTATTTTCCCTACCCAAACTTAATAGTAGAATATATCTTAAAGGGTTAACGGAAGTCATAAATGTCAACTCCTAATATTCCATCTATTCATGGAATTATTAATAAAAGCTGTCATTTGAAAATCAAAAGTAGGTATTCATTTTACCACTGAAAATAATACTATTATAACATTTTAGAACGACTTGTTTCTCAAAATTGTCAAAAACCATCTTAATTTATTTTTTCTCATTTTATCTACTATATCGAAGACACGTATAAGCTACTTCTTATGTACTCATCCTCATCCTTTATCCTATCTTCTCTCGTCACTTCACTCATCCACCTAAACATTTTCATCTCTGCTAAACTCATTCTTTGTTCTATTATTCTGTCTTTCCCCCAACACTCCGAACGTACAACACTACAACATAGTCAGTCTGATCACATTTTTGTTGAACTTAACTTTAAGTCTTATTGTAATTCTCTTGACAAATAAAACACCTGATGTTTATCTCCATTTTATCTTGATCTTATGTTTCACATCCTCATCAAAGACTCCATTATTTTGAAAAAATAGTATAATAATCAAAATAGATATCCACCGAGTGAATCCCAGACCCAACGCTGGTCTTTTATTGAAGATTCCGAAAATTTAATTTTTAGACATCTAACTAGATATTCGAAAAATGGGTAATTATATTGAAACTACATCAATAACGACTCGTGAATCAAAGACATATTATGGGGTGTTTGATAAGAGACTTTTCGAAAAAGTCTTCGGCGAAGACTGGAGTTCGGCCGGTGGTTAACGGAAAAACCAACGTTGGGTGGGTTCATTACTTTTCGGTTTTTCGAGATATCTTTCTAGTTTATACTTATTATATTCTGTCATTTTAGGTTTGTAGAATATAATACTAAACAATTGTAAATTGTATTTAGATATAATTATTATAATTAAAAAAATAAAATCACGAATAAAATGGTTTCTGAAATTAGATTTAATTATTGGGCACATACTTCGGAAAACTATTCCTCAGTTAGGTTCCAGATTGGATATGGATCTAGATGTCTAGGCTGGTTTCTTCGTATTACTATCTAACAGTATTGTAGTTTTCTTGTGTTGTGTAATTATTATTATTTTAAATTTTGTAATTTTTTAGTACACACTTATTTGGTTAATCGCGTTGGTACTTGGTTATTTTATGACTTTGATATTATTATTGAGTATAATATGATAATAGTTCATTAATTAAATTATTATGGTTAATTTTTTGGTTTTTGATGTTTGTTGCACTCACAGCAATATTCTTACAGCCAATTCTTAGTTTTTTGTTGACGTATGTCTGTCTGATTAAAACACGGTGTGACACGAACAAAATGTTACCCCTCAACAACGGTAACTAAACGTGCTTGACTGTGTAGGTTACGTGTATATTTGAGGAACACAGGAACACAACGTTACGCCTTTGTTAGTGTCTTATTTAGTCATCTCCTTTGGTCTTTCAAAATAATAATTATTAACCCTTACGATGAACAAAATCCGTTTTTAACCCTTCATTTTGATGCACGCAGAGCATTAGTCCAGGTTTCGTGGATACGGAGATATTTGACGCCGCCAAATTGACGCACGCCAAGTTGAGAGCTTCGGACATTTTGAGCTCGGAAGAAATGGCTGACATGATCGCCTTCGTCATGTCAACTGGACCAAACATTTTGGTAATTAAATAGCTGTAGAATTTTTACAAATCGAATCTGAGAACAGCACAGTTCACAGTTTATAACAATTGTACCGATCAAACATTAAAATAATAGTATTTTATTTTTTAGATTGCTGAAATGATCGTTCTCAGCCAAGGTCGTACTATCCAATCGTATCCACGCGCATAATACCTAATATACTATGGGTATATAGACTTACAGTGCTTATTTAAAAATTAAATTTAAATCAATAGGTACATCACGTGATTTTAAAGTTTAGACATATTTTTTTTCAACACCTATTGAAGTTATTTATAATAATATAATGTACGTGTGTAGTATGATACACAATATATATATTAATTATAACTTATATAAAATAGTTTGTTTTTCGAAACAAAATCAACGTGTGTATTAGTTGGTTCTTCTACCCCGTCACCTCGGTAATATATATATAATTTTTATATTTTAGTCCAAAAATGTTTAGTGGTTTTTTAGCCATTAAATAATCATTGCAAAGCCACTATAAAGTAAATAATTAAAATTGAATAGTATTCTTATTTACTCATTTTTACGAAAAGGCTCTTGACCCCTGTCCAAGGATAATAGGGTCTACAATGCTCATCTATATATTCTAAAATCAATTGTAATAATAATTTTATAATTTTAATAAGACAAACCTCAGCACTCTAAGCGAGGATTTACACATTTACATAATTTAATACTGAAAAAAATAATTCATTATTTGTCACTGTTGGACTAAAGACAAATATAAAACAATCAAATATATTCCGTTAAAAATAATACACTAGATTAGGTACCTATTTTTAATTTGCATCTAGTTATAGAGCGTGTTGAAAAAATGGTAATTGGAATGGTTAGACGGATATTGTGTCCAACTAGAATGTTATTGAATCTTTCATCTTGAACTGAAACGTCTGAAACATATAACAAAAATAAATTAACAAAATAAAGTCAAAACTACCTATTACCATAAGTGTGCGCCAGACCTATATTTCGGTGGGTGACTATAATATTTTTGGTTCCTTTTGGGCCTTCTTTTAAGAAGACATTTACATGTTTTAATAAATTTTAATGTACGAATAAACATCAATTTAAATTTTTATTTAATATTCTAATACAACAATTATAAATATTTTATAATAACATGCACCTATTGTTTAAATTATTAAACTTATTAATAACCTTATCTACTTCAACAGTAGAGGTCATTTTTTGTTATGTGAAAAGTAAAATTAATGATTCAAATTATTCTTGGGCCATGGTACTTTTTAATTTATTTTTCACAATATTTAATTTCGAAAATACCCATTCACACGAACAACTAGTAACCAGTACAATACTAAAAATGTGTAGTATTTTAAAAATAACTAAAAATATTAAATCTACTTGAGTCTTTTACAAACTCAGTCACAAAAACACGAATTCATTAGTAGTTCCTTTAGGAACATTGTTATTTGTTGAGTCCTTGAGAAGTTTGATTTCAGCAATTAATGTGTCTGGTGAAATTTTTGCAAAATTTTCCAAAATAGTAGCTATTACATTAAAATTACATTTTTATTTTAGTAATATCAGTTAAAATACTATATATATTCTACAGGAGTTAAATTTTAGGGCGCTAATTACATATCGAAGAGTGCTCAAGCACATCCAGAACCCCCCGTGCACATGCTTATTCTTATTACAGACATATACAGGCATAATCACAGATAGTAGGTTAACATACAAATATTATGTTATTTATAAGAACACACCCAAATGGTGACATCCAGTTTGAAATTAGATTTTAAACACAAATAACATCATTTTAAGAAGATGATATTTTTGAGAGTACTAAATTACTTTTTTCTTTTATAATATTGTCAAACACAAAAGGGTAGGAGGTACCTATGCATAATTGATATCTAATGATATTGAGTGAATAAAAATAAACGATTAAAGTATAATTGTAAAACAGACTTTTTAAACAGTAATCATGGTCGATTAAGTGGGTGTTGACTGCTTCATTTTGAACTGAAAAAAGAAAAAAGAAAAGAAAAATAAATTATCAAAATAAAGTTAAAACTTCATATTACATTTTAGATAATTAATCATTTCTAGGTACAAAAATTACAATATTAATTAGAACACACGCAAATGATAGTATTTAGGTTGAAGTTAAATTTAAAGCCCAAATTAGACAATTTTAAGAAGAAAATATTTTTAATAACGATTGAAAGAGTTCAAGGTAAATTCCTGTCATTTTCTGTTTACTTTTTAAAGGTTCCTTGTCTTCCACATGATTATGACCCATACGCAAAGTTTTAAATTTACCTAGCCTTGCTGTTCGTAGGAGATCTGTGAACTTATGATTTCTATCTAAGCTTTTATCTAATTTAATCGACTGTACTGCACTTCTTTCCCAGATGAATTTTAAAGTTCCATCTCGTACTACTAGATTTACTTGTTTCTTTGTTATTCCATTTTCCACTTCTAATTACACACTAAACTCCCTACTCTACCGTCTTATGCGTCTTGCTAATGAAGACCAGCTTTTAACTATCCATAAAATATTTTTATATATTTATTTAATATTTTTATTATTGTTATTATTATTTTAACTAAATACCCGTACAATTTGTTTTTTTTTATGTTATCATATCTATATAAATCCAATTTATATTGGTAGCAATATTTCTAAAAGGAAGTATCGCTGGGGAGGTACTTTAAAGAGGTCAATTTTCGATTTTCTCAGGAGTTTTTCCAACAAATGTGAAAAACCGGGAAAAACACAGGAACAACATAGGAAAACGGGTAAAATCAGTACAATTTTAAACAAATATTATTAAAGAAAATGTATAAAGCCTGTTTAATTATTTCACTATAATAACATATATATTATTGATAAAGCATTATTATCAACTGAACTCCGCTTAGATCATCTTTTCGTAAACAATGATTTATCGTCCCTATTCTTCTAGGACCGTTTTAAATTCAGTCAATGCTGTCAAAGTCCGGGAGAATCGGTACAAGAGTTTATCACTACTTTAAAAATGTCAGCAAGCCATTATGAGTTTGATACATTTTTGGATGATGCACTCCGCGATAGACTAATTGTAGGTTTGTGGATGAAGCTTTTCAAAGGAAATTACTGGGAGGAACCTCATTAACTTTTCAGAAGGCATGTGAAAAAGCGTTGAACGAAGAATTAGTGAAAAGTCAGTCTAATCAGATAAAAAATAATGCACAAGTTTATTGGATCACAAAGAAGTTCAAAAATAAATCATAGTCATATAAGTCAAATCAGTTTAAGAAAAAACCAGTGCAGTAGCAAGTAGTAGTCAGTCAAAAAATTAAAGCGGTTATGTGTCAAAGCGAGGTAGTCAATCGCGTAGTCACAGCAGGGGTGAAAAAAGGATACGAAAAAAGATACGATGTTACCGGTGAAACTCATGACGCTTGTAACTGTTCAGCAAAACAATGGGAGTGTTTCAATTACAAATTAAAAGAAATTAAATTAATAGAAACTGTTAATAATATAGGTACATTGTATAAATATAGTATTGCAAATGTAAAAGTAAATGAACCACTTATTGTTGAGTTAATTGTAAATGACATACGATGTTGATAGTGGTGCTTTAGTTATTGTTTATTGTTGTTGATTTTTAACAGATATTTTAGAAATATCAAGTTAGAAAAAGAAAAAATTAAATTGTCATCGGTAAATAAGGCGTCTATAACAGTAGTGAGTTAATTAATTATAAATATGAGTTCCTAAAAAATTAAATTATTAAATTACCGTTGATTGTAACAGAAAATTGTATAAAACAATTACTTTTGGGTCGTTCGTTGTTAAATTAATTGTTTCCAGAATGGAAAAATATTTTTTATTGTCATAAAATAAAATTAGTATGTAATGAAATAAATCATAATAAATTAGAATGTATAAAAAAAACTAATGAAAATCAAGTGAATGACACGGACATAGTGGGTGTAATTTAGTTGAAATTTCTGGGTGTAGTTAAATGGTTGATTAATGAGGAAGAATGTGTAAAAGATCATAAAATAAATTTAGAATTAACAGAAAATAGTGTGCTGAAATGTCAAAGGGCGTATCAAGTGTCATATGCGTTAAAATCCGCAGTAGAAGAAGAACTGGCGGGATTAAAAAAAGAAGGGATAATATCTCATGTAAAGTGTAAGTGGGCGTCTTCGATAGTTATAGTACCAAAAAAAGTAATAAAATACGAAACATGAATACTGAATAAGGCAGAACAATGAACACTCGAAAGCTTTGAAATGTGGTATTGGAAAATGATGCTGAGAGTGAGTTGGATAGAACATTGTACCAACGAAAGCATACTCAATGAAATAGATGAAGGCAGAGAGATACTCAAAACCATCAGAGCAAGACGATGGAACATCATTGGTCATATATTGAGGCATGAAAATGAGCTTATCTATAGAATAATAGAAGGTAAAAGGGGCTAAGGACGTCCAAGGACATCATTTGTTAAACAAATGATTTTCGATATTAAGCTACGCTGAACTGAAGAGGTTAGCTGGGGATAGGGAAGAGTGGAGAGAACATGTCCAACTGCAAAACCAACCTGAAGGGTTGAATACCAAGAGAGATAGAATTTGATAATTATGTTTGGATGTATCAATTGTCCCTTCGTTTTCATGTTAACCAATGAAGAACACATTTGTTCAGAATAAACTCGTCATGTTACAAAAGCTGACTTACAAGTATTGCAATCACCAATGTACCTCAACATTTGTTTAGATAAATACCATATAAAAGTAATTAATTGATTTTTAATATTTAATAATATTTTACATATAATAATTAATGGTAAATGTATCATAATATTTTGTTACATAACAGTTAAATAATATATTAGACAATCTATTACTTCAGCTTTTGTATAATTGTATTTAACAACTTTATCAAATTCCCAATCTTTCATTAATTATTTTATTTAATTTTTACTTTTAAGTTTTTAATTACATTTGACTTTTTGGTTTATAGGTGCCTTTTTCCATATGGACCTAGTCACACCTGCATGTCAATTATATTTACTGAGCAAATAATATTTTTTAATCTATGAACAATATCCTTTGATTTTATTATTGGTCATTCCGAGAATGTTTTTCACAAATAACTTCGTTAGCACTAAAATGATCTATCCCTAAAGATTGTAGTCATTTCTCCTTTAAATGTTTATTTTTAAGGATATTAAAAATGGAGAGTTTCTCTGAGTTGTCACAATGAAAGTAACAAATTACTACTTTAGTTAAAATAAGATACATTAAAAATCAAATACCTATGTATAAAATGGATTTATAGTTGCCACTAGACAACATAGACAAGTATACTAGATAGTAGACAGTATTACGCAGTTTGCAATGTTTGTATCAAATTGTGTTAGAATTATCGATTACTAATATAAATCTATATAACATAAATAAAACAATAATATTATTATATAATAATCCAACCTTAGTAATTTAAATGATTTTTCGGCGGGGTGTTCCTAACCTCAAAATAAGTTTACCCAGCAGCGCTTTTACGGCAACACGGGAAACGTTTTTTCCTTATTAAACGGAAATATTGTAATGGATGGTAGGGTAGGAAGTTGTTTGACCTTATCTTCTAAGACCATGATAAGGTTTATCGTTAAAACTTAATCCTTGTATCATCGATAATTTAGAATTGAACTGATAAGGAATAACACACATCCGTGAGCCGTGAATTGTATTGAATCAGCGATAACACTGAATCATTGAATCACTAAATTATACCACATTGATTCAATTCACTCAGTTCACTTCAATACTATATTAATAATATGTTTATGATTCACCTTCATCTATAATTTTCAACTACACTATTACAGTCACGAACTACCCATGACCACTGAACTATATACTATGGAAAGCACACAGTGCAAACAAATTGAGTGGCATGAAAGTCCGCCATTGTGAATCCGTTTCAATTATTTCCGATATTGTTCGTACCGTGACTAACTTCTTTAGTGGTTTTCGATGTTGGCTTTTGACTTTACATTGATAACATTAATTTTTTGTTACCGGTGATAAAAGATAATAAAACGAAAAACAAAATTGTATGGTATGCGAACTACTTTACACTATGTGCCTGAAGTCAGAAACCATCTTCGAAAACCACTAAATGAAGTTAGTCATGGCATCGGAAATAATTGAAACGGAATTACATTCGCCTGTTAAGCCGCTCACTTTTATTATATGGTAAATATGCATTATACAACTTCCATGGTATATAGTCCAATACCCATGATCCGCCGTTACATATTACACAATCATTTTAATGTGAATGTGAAATGTGGTATATAGTGTAGAATTTCGATCTAGAATTGCCTTTTATAAATATTACCTATCTAATTATTTTTACGATAGTAATATTAATTTTAATTGTATTTATAAAATTCTGTGATATTCTTAAAATACAAACATTTTATTCTTTGTGTATTTTTAGATATTTTATACATAAGTATTAAAATGCCGAAGTCGAACAAGATGGATGGTAAATATAAATCAGATTAAATTACCTGAGATGTATCAATATAGTTTAGGGTTAGATACAAGTCATGTTATAATATTTTAGTGTTTTTGAAAAACCTTTTTTTTTTTCTAAAGAAAATTCAACTTTATAATGTCACGTTATGTTAATGAAACAATTTAATTGTCCATTTATTGTCGGTAATCAGTATTGACATGTTATATAGGCATACACTTTTAGTTGAAAATAGTACAACTATAAATTTTTTTTTATCTAAAAAATATTTTATGGTGCCAAGTGTCAAAATACTAAGGGCAATAACTTACTACTTAAATTTGATTCTGGTAGTACTATAAAATCTTAATAAGCCTATAACAATTCAAATTTAAATTGAATAATTGATTATACATACTATGTATAAATAAAGTAGAATATAAATTAATATTTCATTGCAAAATTCCATGATATTTTTATTATAGTTTGGTTGAACTATATTGAGGCATATCTATAATATTGGATTGAAATATTACCTAATACCTACTATACACACTATACTTGTATGTTTTAACTTAATACTTATATATAATAGTATATTATATAGTAAACCTATACATTTTACAGAAGAGGTTATTGCTCGCAAGCTTCTCAATGATGGAGATGGAATTGGTGATGACAGACGTTTAAATTTGTTGTTGAAATCATTTTTAAAATGGTGTGATACTGATTATAACAATCTCGTTGAAAGGTACAAATAATAATTTTTAATATTTCAATAGGGATTTCATTCTTGAATATCTGTAATATAATCCAATATAGCGGAAGTATGCTAAAATATTCTTCAATACGTACCATAAGTTAAAATATGCACTCATATGTAAAAAAAAACTCTTTATAAATAAATTTTACAGGTTATTTATGTGGTATAAACGGATCTGTTACAAAACATTATCAATATATAATTATAAGATAGACATGGTAATGAAATACAGTAGAATGACAATAATAATATTAAGTATACAGTAATAATAATAGCAATAGTAAATACAAATAAGTAACGCCAATACTAGAGTTATAATAAGATAAGCATAATTATGAGTTATAAAGTAGATACTTACCATACAACTTAAAAGAGTGTGGGTTTGGTGAGTTATACAAATCATTTCCAGGTTAATAACCATTTGCATAATTCTATCATAGGAAGTGTTACTTGCGTGGCTGGTTACTTGCAGGCTTAAATGAAATAGGTTTTTGAAACGCAAATATTTCTTACTCTCATTAAAAAACATAAGTTTCTTAAAAATATGTTATTGCATACAAATTTGGACTCTAGTTATCAGAAACTCTTTTACAAATGCTTGTTTTAAGAAAGACTTCATCTTAAAGATATCATTAATAAAAATTAAACATTTAAAAATATTATGGTTATTTTTAAAATTGCACATTTCACAACCCCCACCCTGTATAAATAGTCACAATATTTGATAAACTATCTAGACTTTATCATTAAAATAAAATATCAATTAAATGATTAATAGACAATAATTAACAATAAATTAAATATAATTTATTATATTTCTGTGAAAAAAACTTATTCAATATGTGTACATGATAAAAAGTAGTTTGTATATTGTAGTTAATTTTATTATAATTTAGAATTATTCCTATTATTATATTTAATTTATTTGTTTTGTTTATTTTAGTGATATAGCTCAAGAGAAAATAATCAATCATCTTAATTTATGTGAACATGCTATGAAAAAATCTAAAGGGATTTCTGAAAGGCATGACAAAGAGATAGAAACCTATGAAAATATCTCTAAGGAAATTGATCTTGAAACAGCAAATATACTTTCTAATATCAATGAAACAAAGGCAGTATTAAAAGAAGTAAAAACTAATAAACGAAATAAAATGGAGTGTGATCTACTTATTCAGCACATTAATAAATTTCAACCAAGAGCTAAAAGTGCTAAATGTCTTGAAGAATTAACTAATGAGGTCCAGGATTTGATTGTAAATATATTGAATAATTTTAACAACATCATAAGTATGAAATATTAAAGTATTTATAACAATATGTATTTAGGCCACAAAAGATGAAATAACTAAAAAAATTGATAAATTAAAAATTCCATTGGATATAATCTTAGATTCAATTAATGTCTTAACTGAATCGCTTGAAGAGACCATTGAAAATTCGTCAATTGGCGAAAACATGTCTTCTTATGAACCAATTGATGATGATGAAGATCTTGAAATCCTGAATAGGAAATATGAGGAACCTATGTGAGGAACCAATATACTATTTAGTGGACTGAATTACTACAAATAAACTTTATTATTTCACTGTTTCATTCCAATTAAAATTTCTTTTTCCTATTCATTAACTGTACTTTAGATGGTACTAGGATTTTTGTATTTTCATTTTTTCTGTTTTCATAATATTTTTTTTAGGTAGGAAAATAAGTTTCCTTTAAATTTTCAAAACTTTAAGTGATCCAAAGTATCAAATTTATTAAAAATAGCAGTTTTAAGAAAAAAAAAAAAAAAATCTAAAACAGTTTTTTTTGATAATATAATTGTTTCTTCTATAAATAATCTCAAAGATTTGAAAATTTTAGAGAAACCTTTTTATATTTTTGTGAGTATCTACATAATACCACTAGAAGAACAAAATAAAAATCTTGATCCAACCTATAGTTATTGTTAACATTTTACTTTTAAATTCTTCTTAATGTATTTTGTATTCTATATATATAGTTAATAATTTGTTAAAATAATTAGTGGTGTAGGGAAGGTGGCGTCCCCATCGCCCAGTGCATTTGAATAAATACACCGCAATAGCCCTACCCTGACCTTAATTGGTTAGGGTAGTCTGGTCCTCCAGGTTGGGGGTTGAGCGAAGGGCTAACAACCCTTCCTCGGAAAAAAAATACTGTTACGACACCATCACAAACCAAGCCTCTAGTGGCGTGGAGTTGTGATGGCGGCAAAAACTCTTGTAGAGTAGATAAGGCCAGAAAAAGAAGAAGAACAATTAACAAATGGGTTTAGTAAAAAATATATATGCAAAATATACATTAAATTTATCATTTAGAAATAACTAATTGTTTTATAATATATTTTAAACAGTATCAAATTATTTGTATTTTTTGTTTTATATTCATTATCCACATTATGAATAGTAAGTTAGGCTTTATAATTTGGTACAATGAAAAGTAGCCATAGTACTAATATACTTAAATAACAAAAAACCCCTTTATCATAAAATTAATTTTATAAATTAAACTAAAATTTCATTTTCTACATTTATTAGGTATTCAAAGATTTTTTTCAAAGTTTATTTAAATTTAAAATGTAATGCACACAAAGAACACTCAATTGTGTTCAGTTAATATTGCTCTACTAATAGTATTATAAAATTTTATTTTGTAATGTCCCACTGTATTTCACTTAATTATAATTATAGATTCTAAATGTATTGATTTTACAATAATTTTTGTTTTTTAATTTCTTTTTTTTTTATTTGTGAACAACATTTCTACTAAAAATCTTGTTCCGATTTTCACGACATGTAGTACCTTTACTGAAAAAAATTTTTATCCTGATAGTATTTTAGAGAAGTGATTTTTCAAACCGTTTTCATAGTTGAAAAAAGTAGAAAATTTACAAACATTTTTTTTGTTGTACTTGAGATAAAAATAATTAGTAAAAACTTAAATTTGGAAAAAAAACATTTTATTTGCCTTTTTAAACGTGGTCAAATTTTCATAACATTTTAGGCATTTTACAACTATTTGTAGACATAAAAATTAATTTAATTTTGAAAGTTTTTATGTAATCTTTATTCAGGAGGTACTCTGTGGGTGGATGAAATCATTAGATAAAACAGAATAGCTTGGAAATTTAATAGGAGGTTGATAATAAGTCGTACTTTGTAGTATAAAATAAAAATGAGTCAATTTTTTTATAAGACTAAATCAAAAATGTTGATGAAAATCGTACGACTTTTTAAAACATGTGAAACCAAATTCCACTCAGAATCGTTTTTCGTTAGTAATAACTGATCATTGATCACAGATAAATATTAAATTAAATGGTAGGTAAATCCTACCTTCCCAACTTCTCATCTACCATAGTGGCCCACCCATCGTGGGATTTATGTTAGTCCTTTTCGATTGTAGCATGGCAACTATCAACAATAGTTTCATCCATAAAAAATAATTTACTTTGGATGTTGGATTCATATCTTATATCTACATTAATCTATTGATGTTTATTAACTCATAGGGAAAAGTTTGTATTGAATAATTATTAACAAATGAGTTTTTTTGTATCCTTATAAATGTATTTAATTTGTAAAATTAATAAAAAAAAAAAACAAAAATTAGTTTCTTGAACTAATGAAAGTTGGAATGTATTGAACTTATTGTAATGAAATAATAATAAAAAAAATGCCAAAGCCTAAACACTAGATTTTTTGAAATAAAATCAATAACAACCAGAGCATCAATGATTAAATATGTGCTTCAAAAGTGTCAACAGAATTAATGGTATAAAAACTAGGTAAGTAGGTATTTCATGTTAATCTTATAAGTAGGGTTAACATTTCCTACGTTTGCATATGTTTGTTGGTTGGTCAAAAACCAGCTAATTAATATCAAAATCTGTTTTATGAATTATTTAGTCTATTTAAACAATTTTACTCTGCATATTTTGGAGTTTTGTGCTTTTTAGATCATATTTCAAGGATTTTGTACACTGTAAGTGACTAGGATTTCATACATTTTTAAGACATTTTCTATTAGATTAATTATTAAGAATCACAAAATAATTGTTTGAGATTATAAATATCAGTATTCAGCAGGCAATCTTTAAATATTCTAGGTAGGTACCTGTATTTTAGATAAATATTGTTAATGAATTTGTTCAATCAATTAAATTGTTAAGGATTGTTCAATTTAATAATATATAGGAAAAGTTAGATTACCATATAACAATAATACTCAATGTCTTGTCTATATATTTTATCAGAACTATGTACGGTTTTAATTTTATTTGAATCATCAGTCAGGGTTGTTATTTCTGTGATATGTTAAATCAATTTATTTCAGTACTTTTAATTATTATCTTTTTAAATGCACAAAAGTAAAAACTTCAAATTCTAGTTTTTAGATTAAGAGAAATTCAAATATGAAAACAGTACACAATTTTATTTTATTAATCATTTGCGATGTAAAATACAAATAATCTGAAATTTTAAAATAAATTAGTAACTATATTTATTTATGAGTATTAACCATCTTAATAATTTTTGTTTTGTTTAGTAATTTTTATGGCAAAACTGCATACATATTACTTGTAAACCTAAAAACAATAGTCACAAATACCAATATTCAAAGAATTTTATGCGCTGCTTCTCTTACGAGGAAGGTTTAAGCCCATTTATGGTTGAAAAATCACACAATATAAATTTAAACTATTTATTTGATAAATGTAATATTTAATTATAATGATGTAAAGATATATAGTAAATTTGAAATAAAAATAAAATTAGGTATTACTTTATTATATTATATAATTTAAACATTTATAAAAGCGATTGAGCAAAATAATACAAATAGTAAACAGAATGATGAATAATAACTATGAAAACCAGAAATAACAAACAAATTTTCGGATTTATGAGACTTACTCATAGTTGAATAATTAGTTTAGAAACTGTTTAACATCTAATTTCGTACCGTCCATTGCACCCGAAATAACGAATCCATTTAGTAACATCCTGATCCAAATAATTCAACTTAGGTTCGAAAACTCTAATATATTTGACTTTGAAACCAGAAAATGCATACGGTATAGTGAAACTCAGTGAAATCGGCGGTCTAACCCATTTTTTCTCATTTTCCGTTACTAATAGATCAATATCAGCTGTAAGTTGCGTCTCTTTCATGCCAGACATCTTCTTAATTTTCCAGATGATTGCATTTTCCTCGGCTTTGTATGTGGCTGTGCCTTTCCGACAAGACACTTGTACCTTGGCAGCGTTCAGAGGAATAGAAATTTTCATTTCGATTTTCTTTCCGGATATCGATGATTTGAATGCAGTTTTTAATATTACTTTTATACCTACAAAATTACCGCCGACTTCTTGTATAATAGGTATAACTTTGAACGGCAAGCATATGTTTTTATTTATACGATAACGCATCAACTCGAATTGACCATCAGGCGGTATAAAGTGAATGGAATGTTCATCTTCGTATTTTGAAAGTTTCACGCATTGGTGAAACTTATAGTCATCGATTAAAATGTGGTGCAAAGTGCTTTCGACATAAACTATTTTGGTATTGGTTCGCAACATGAGCTTGTCGTTAATACCAATTTTACACTCAGGCATGCCGCTCAATGATGAATTCATAAATATGTAACCGTCAACGTACGCAGAGAGTACTATTCCTAGTGGAGACATCAACAAGTTGATGCGTTCCACTACGTCGAGAAACAATAAGGAATTACGGTACTTAATGTCATCAGGACGCCAGTAAAGTGTTCCCGTCACCTGAGCTGTTATCTTCGTCAGTTTATCCTGCGCAATCGGTTCACTTCTATTGCCTGCCTGCGTGATGTACGTCTTCAGAATCGCCGCATCACAGTTCTGCGGATACCCAAAGTCAAGCATTTCGTCCAGCAACTCGTAAACGAGCACGAAATTGTTTTTAACTTTGTCCTCGTTGAACTTTCCAAAGTACGATTTCATCGTCTTCGCGAAACTCCCGAGAAACTGGAACACCATTGTGATATTGACGTTCTGTTTAGTGACGGCGACTATCCAAATGTCTTCCCGGCGGATGTGCAAGAACGAATTTCGCGCAATGTCGGTGACGGGCTCCTGGACCTTTTTCCGGGAGTGTATCACATTTATGCGGAACGCATCGCTGGCGTTACGCGCAATGTCGTCCCGAAACACTCTCTTAATCAGCACTTCGCCTTTCAGATTAAATAAGAAGATTCCGCCGATCATGATGGCAGCCGATTCCGAACAGTCTACTAGTCTGTTAATATCTTGTATTACGCAATTACGTAGTTCTCGTTTTCGTTATCAACTGTGTTGCACATTATTACAACTGTCGGTGGTTGACCGTGAATAAATGTGTGTTCATGACCTGAGATATCAGCTGTTCTGGCGTTAATACGACCTGGAAATTTATCGATTGGTCGAAACGAATTTTTATAAAATATGACTATTATATTGACATTTAGTGACTAGCTAACATCATAATATATTTTATATTTATTTTATATGCGCATAATATTAACCGATGGTCATACTAGGGATCAGGATTGGATCAGAATTGTGATAATCATGTCTTGTTAGGGATCACGATTGTGATAATCGGTCTTATGCCTCCTACACGGTATCTAAATTTCCAATTGATAATAGACAAGTTCAAATTTTCTTTCGATAAAATATCTAAAAAAAAAGTACGTACGGTGAAAATAAATAGATATTTTAATTTTACGCTTGCATTACTATAGCCACTCCGTGAATCTTGGTTCGCGTTCGATACTGGAACAATTATAAAACGAGCTAAACGTCTTATTCAAATTTGGGACGCCTTTACTTGACATTAGCATAAATGTGACCACGTCCCTTTTACCTATATAATGTGTATACAATATTACGAATATAACATTACGGGGTAGGTTAAATGCGTGTAATAATCAATGCTCTTTGTTAAAAACCGAAAATTGGTTTACAGGTTAAATGTTTTCTTCGTCTTTTAGTTTTTGTCATTTCATTCGTATATGTATTTCGACTGCAAACATTCGTTTGTATATAATTTTAAATAAAATACCTACTTATTGTTTAATCGTTTATAAAGTATATTTATTTTATAATATTTGTATTGTTCTTTCAGTGTAATTAGTTGGCTTATTGTTATATAGTTGTTATATCCTACTTACTATTCCTTAATGGATATTTTATTCCCAGTAAGTATTTTACGCTCATTAATAATATTGACAAGTATAATATTTACAATTTTTTCCAGCCTTTTATATAATTGAAATTTAAAGTATATATTAAATAAATTTTCATTATGGTCGTTAAGTGTGTTATCAAGGGATGCGGATCGAGGGCTGGTGACAGGGGCATCAAACTGCATAAGTAAATAGTGTATCATATTTGTTTTCATTATATAATTCACACTATTAATCGTTATATTGTATAGGATTCCGAGAGATATTATCATCAAAAAGAAGTGGATTGATGATTTCATACATTCGATTAATAAACAATTCATAGAGAATAAAAATACGGTGGTGTGCAGCCATTATTTTGAGCCAAAAGAATATTATGAGACGTACAGGCAAAAACAAAAGTTGCACACATTTAATAATATTTAATAATATCAGTATTGCCTGATCCTATTCCTGCTGCAGGTATACTTTCTGTGAAACATTTTAAATCATTCGTTTGTTGAATAATATTATTGTATAATAGTAAATATCTGTATATTATATTAGACTGCTTGATTTTTAACTTTTATTTTTTTCGAATTAAGAATGGAAATTGCTTCTTATGGTCTCAAAAATCTTACCCAAAACAAATTGTTTAGAACTTCCTCATCGCATACTTAGTTTTTCCATTTAAACAACAGGAAAGAAACGACATTTTCAATTGAATCAAATTTATTCATAAAGTTCAAAAGTTACGAGGTTTTTTTATAGTTTTTTCTTAAAAACACAAAAAAAAAAAAATACATAAAATTCACTTGGAATCAAGTGAAATTTTACAATTTATGAACAGATTTTTTTTTTTTAAATTTTTAACTCATTATATTCTACAAAGCTGATCTATAGCCAAGGACCGATATCAAGGTCTTTTCATAACTTACAAAATTAACCTTATTTGAACATTTTTGGTTAACGGGTGGCTGAGTTATACAACTATATAATATGAATAAAAAAGTTATAAAAACTCAATTTGTATAGATTTCTACAAATGAATTATTCTTATAACAGAAAATTGCAATTATTTCTAATTGAATATTATATTTGTGTGGGATCTTTAAGGAAAAACTATGTACAACCTTGTAACTTTTGAACTTAATAAGTAAATGTGATTTAATTAAAAATATCATTATTTTTCTATATTATTGAAAAATAAAAACTAAATATCCAAGGAGCTAGCCCTAAAATTTTTTTTGGGTAAGTTTGAGACCATAAGGAAGCAATTTTCAGTCTTAATTTAAAAAAAAAGTTAAAAATCAAAAAAGTCTAGTATATATTATATATTATAATTAAAATATTGTGTTATTACATACTATAAATTATATTATGTGGGTACATATTTAATTAAGACTTTTAATAAGGCCTATATAAGAAAATGGCTGTAACATAAAATTCTGATCACACTGTGCACATATATATATATATATATATATATATATATATATATATATATATAGGGTACTTTACCGTGTTCGATGAATTTTTCTAGAGCTGGTAATGTACATTTTTTTCAACCTCTTTTCTTTAAGAAAGACATTTACTTTGAAAAAAATTAAATAATTATTTCTATCCCCTAATTACTAAATAATTTATTTAGTTTATTCACTTTTATTCAACATTTTCAAAATAGTCTTTTTGTAAAATATATTATTCCAAGCATTTTAATGTACCAAACATTCATATCTGATTGATATTTTTATTAGTCGTAGTTGTTTCTTTAAATTTCTAAAATTTTCAATTTATAACATAATAAATCAGGTTATTTCTATCACATGGCGTAATAATCTTATATTTCACACATTCCTCTAAAAATTAAAACTGCTATTACAAAGACATTTTTGATCAGATCTGAATATATAATACATTAATATTTTTTGAACACAATATTTTACAAAATAGCTATTTTTAAAATTGTGTAAAATAAAGTTTTTTTTTTTAGAAATTAGGGAATGAAAATAAAAGTTTCATTTGTCCCTAAATAAGAAAACAGGAAATTGAAAAATTTTAAAAAAATGAATAGCTCTAGAAAAATTCTTCAAACACTGTCGGTCAATCTACATATATGTTACGGTCAAAGTATGAATACTGGTAAAATCTAGGATTTACCGGTATTTCATAATTTTACATATACAGGATGTCCCACGAGGATTCGAAAAATGCAATAACTTTTATTCAATTCAATATTTTTAAATAATTAGTATGCTTCAATGCTACAGTTTATATATAAACATTTTTTTTTATAGGGAAAGGAGAAAATGAAATAAAAAATTTTAAATTTTACTATAATTTTTTTAAAAATATTCAAAATAGCCAATTTGAGAAATAGATTTTTCTTTAAACTGAAATTCGAAAACAAAGTAGATTTTTTTTCTGCCATATGATCAATTAAATATTTATTTAATTTGACTAAAAACTCAAAACTATGTGATACGTTTTAAACAAAAACAATGACGCAAATTCTAAGTATACAAAATATTATTACTTTCATACTTAAGAGAAATAAAATGAAAACAAATTTATCTACGCAATTGTTTTTCACTAATTTATTAAAGGTTATATTATTATTATCTACAACATCCATGGTATAATTTAATGATGAATTGAATTTTTTATAACATCAGTTCAGTAATTTCAATATTGAAATAATAGATATTTTTATTAGGTTGTGTGGCATCCCATGTATACACGATAACAATAACCGCCAATCATAATAACAATATAATTATTTATAACAAGTGTCACCACAGTTAGATAAAAATAATAATCTTATTAACCCAATAACATCCTTTGTTTTTTTTTTTTTTTAATAATTATAGAGTTAGTTAATCTTTATTTTAAAACCATTTTCAATGTTTTACTCCTACTCCATATATCCTAAATATGTTTATACTTTTGTTTTTAAATTAGGAACCACCCTTTTTTAACACAGATTTGAATAGATAATATCATTCTAGACATTTTGATATGTGTAACACTACTGTTAAATGTACCGTTTATGAGTTATAACCGTTTAAAGTTTAGACTGGAGGGTATACTGAAGTGCAACTATGTAAATTATCACCTTTCCCTAGTAGTTATGAAATTTTTGTTTAGAGATTTATTTTTATTTAAAAAAAAAAATCAGAAATGTTCCTCCTTGGAAATGTTTTCCTTTTTATATGTTGTTTCTAGTGTCTAATTAAACTCTAATCTGAACACATAAATGCCACAATTTATATTCTAAGCAACACAATTTGGATAGGTTTCCACATTAGACCGAGACAGTAAAAAATGCGGGCAATAGCATTTTCTTAATTAGATATCTAATTTAATGTCTTTCTACTCATATATTCAGATACAGAACTTGTATTAATAAATAATTTTTCATTTATATTCAATTAATTTGCTATATTATTTTATGGTTTTCAGCTCCAAGTACAGATGGTCATCATTATCATAATGAGCATTCATATGCTAGAAAATAGTAAATTTATATACTTCTATATCAATATTTTTATATTTCAACTGATCAATATTTTACGATATTGGGATTGGTTAGAAATTCGGAAACGCAGGTTACAAACAAATTATTTAATTTATTATAATACATACTTGTTATTATTAAAAATTATTTATTATTATTAGGTATTTATTAAAATACATAAATTACTTGATCAATGTTTTACTATAATATTTGAAAAATTGTTAATCATTACATAATTAATGTGTATATAAAAAACGTGTTCTTTATTATATTTCGGTATGTATATTTTAATTTATCTTAGTAGTTGTAACTCCTCTGACAATAGTAATTCGAGGTACAAATAAAATCACAGATTCAATTTATTGAAATATTTACAGTTTGATTGATTAATTGTTTCAACTATAAAAATACGAACATAGGTACTTAAGTATTATATTTAATTTTAATGGTAAAACAAAATTATTTTAATATTTTTTTGAAAAATGAATGAAAATTCCATTGTAATGATACATATATGCTAAACAAAATTTAAAAAAAAAATGCACGATCATTATCTTGATCCACCTCAATAGAGGTGTTAATGTATAAATTGTAAGTTAATCTATACAATATACAATTTTAAACAATATTAAATCAATTTATATGTCTTCATGTTTCAGGCTTTTGAACAATAAGTACCTACTTAGCCAAACAATTTTTTCCTGAAAATGGACTTTTAGAGGTGCCATCTAGATTCTAGACTAAATTTTCAAGCTTAAACTCGGTAAATTTTAGAATTATTAAATACACTGTAATAACAAATAAAACGAACGATCTCATGAAAAGTACATACCTTCTGTACTTACCCCAGATATGACATGAATTTTAAAAACTAAAAAAATAAAAACAAAATTTTTAAGTGATAAAGGGATGGAAATAAAATTTTTATTTTTCTCTATATGTGTCCCTTATTCATAAAATCAAATTGAAAATAAATAGACTATAATAGGCCCCCCTGAACAGGTTCATGTGGAAGCCCATAAGTTCACAATTTATAATAAAAAAAAATAATATATTCAAATAATAATTTAAATTTAACTTTTTTTTACAATTTTAGACTTATTAGATGAAACTAACTTAAACATATACAATGTAACAAATAGTAATTAATACTTGGCGACTTAATATAAAAACAGTTTGATAAAATACAAATGCAAGCAACTAGATTAAAGATATAAAAATATTTAAAGTTTTAAATTTGATTTATTCTACAGCCAGTTAGTTATTTTATTTGAGAATATTAAATGATAGTTGTTTTGAAGTCTAATGATAGCTGATTATATATTTTTAGTTTTATATATAAGTATGTAAATTGAGTTGTTTTCTGTGCATTACGGGAACAGTAATATTTGATAATTGTCTTGTGTTATATCCGTGATGAATACTAGATGTAAGGTTATTTTTAATTGTATAAATTAACTGATGCCTTATAGAACAATTTTTTTAATAGAAGAAAATTTAATTCTTTATATAGATATTCTGTGTGTGTGACACAAATGATTCTTTTTTAAAAATAATCTGTATTATTTTACTCATATATTCAATACTCAAAAATAAGTGTTTGGGTGTATGAATGTTGGTAATAATTAATCAGATACAGAACCTTTATTAATAAATAAGTTTTCATTTCTATTCAATTAACTTATTATTTTATTTTACGATTTTTACAGTTCCGAGTATAGATGGTCATCATCATTATAATCAGCATTCATATTATGCTATGAAATAGTTAATTTATATATTTATGTATCAATATTTGTATGAAAAATTAGCAATGTTTCATAAATTAAAATAATATTTGTCAGTTGGTTGAAAAAATTATTCAACTTTTTATAGTATCTATAGTTATAGTATTTAGTTGAGTTCTGCTCCTCACAAGTTCTTTCTTTGTATATTTATAATTATAGCTGAGATTTAAATGTAAATACATATTTTTAATAAATTAATTGTTACAAATGATAAATATATGTTTCACATGATTTGCAATAAAATAAGAAATATTTTATTTCACTTATTTTATTGTAAATACATATTTTTACATTTTTTATAAAATGTCCACTTTATTATTATTTTTTTTTTACATATTTTGTTAATTTCATTCATAATAGGTACTATAAAGTAAAACAATTCATTAATATACATCTAATTACCAAAATTGGGTTGTTAGGTAGTATAATACTTCGATAATAGTATTTATAAAAATTGTAAGTGTTTAGGTGTAGCTCTATTAATACTTATCATATTTATCTTAAGATGGCGTCTTAGGTACCCGCATATGATATAGCAAATTTTTATTCAGCAGAAACAACTCTGTGCTGTATGTTTGATATTAGAGTGAATTAACCTATTATTAAACTTTTAGATATTATCATTATCTGTGTCGTCCGGTAGTTTTATGTTTGTTATTTACATTTTTAAGCGAGTTATAAGCATTTTTCAACCATAATATTTCACAGGATTATATCTCAATTGAAACTTAAAATAATAATAAAAAAAAACTTAGAGATGACATAAATAATGTTTATATATTTGAGTTTATTAATAAAACAATTTACTCTAATTTTAAAACTAACAGCACAGAATTATCTCCACTGAACGAAAATGTGTTTCGGGTTAGATGTCCTTTTAACGACATAAGATTATCTGTGACATATCTGTTTATGTTCGGTAATCTAGAACCTTAAATTATACTTATAAATGTTCAACAATTATTTCCTAAAATAATGTATAATAAATTTACAACATTGTCAGTACTTATATTTGAGTGGTTGTAAAATAACTTTGCCTTATAAATTAAAATTTAAAAAAGTTAATCTAATTATATTATATAAATAATTATGAATTATATTATTCCAATACCAATATTTTTTTTTTTTAAATTATTTATTAGATATTTTAGCAAATTTAATTACATATTACATATATTACATACATTTTTAGTTTTATATTACATAGATTACCTACCCTTAAATCTCAGCCTACTTATAATAGTTGATGAATGTTTATTGTATTATTGTATTAGATTATGTTCTATTTTTTTTTACCTAGTTAACAATAAGTTTACAAAGTAACAATATATAGACAAGTTTTATTAAATTTATTATTAATCTAAAATTTTCTCTCTAAGAGTTTTAGCTATCGCTACAATTTTCTCTATCTTGCATTGTCTACTTATTGCGTTCAGATTTTCTGTCACTGGATCAATCCACCTATTTCTGGGACATTCCTGTGGTTGATTTCCTTTCTGCGCAGCAGCTATTACTAATGCATTAGATGCGTTTGTCATTTTTATATCATCTGTGAATCTAAGTATTTAAAGGCAGTTGTATCTATCTAAAATATATGTTTTTATGCAAACCAAACACAAATTAAATAAGTTGTTATTCTTTTAAAACATTTTTAAAATATTGAAGTAGTTTTATTCTTCTAGAATTAACTTCATTTCTATTACCAATATTTTCACCTGGGTTGCTAAAGTCTGTGATTTCAATTAACAATTGCGTTTCATCTGAAACTCTAGGTATTCCATCTCTACCTTGACAAGCTATATTATGTAGTACTGCTGTAGCAATAATTATTTTTTGAACTGAAGCAATACTTAAATCAATGCCTTTAGCTAAAATAGGAAATCGACATTTCCAAGCATCATGGGTACTTTGTGCAATACTTATTGTATGAATTAAAGATTCATTATAATTGAAAATATCTGCTTCAGTAATACTTGTTGGTAAGTCTATTATTGTATGAGGGTTTTCAATTGGAGTCATAAGATAATTCCTTTGTGGAAAGTAAATATCACCTACTAAAACACCCTTTTTAATTTCACCCCTTTCAAACTTTCCTCGTATTGATGAATTTTTAAAAATGGTGGAATTCTGTGAAGAACCAGGCCACTGAGCATCAATGTTTTGAATTCTTAAATTGGCATCACTAACTATTTGAACATTTATTGAAAAGAAATCTTTACTGTTTTTGTACTTTTCAGCAATGCCTCTTTCTGGTGATAGGATCTTGACTTGTGTAAAACCTACAGCACCAACTACCATTGGAAATCCAGCAATGTTAAAAAAATCTTGTTTGACTTTTCTTAAATCATCTTGATTCTTGGGAAAATTAATAAATTTTTTATATAATGTAACAATAGCATTAGAAACAAATTTTATAATACGTTTGGCTTTAGATACAGAAATTCCATCAAATCTTCTAAGCGCAGCAGTCAATGAACCAGTTGCATAATATCTTAATGTAAAAAGGACTTCGTTGTCTATATTCAATTCATGATACCTACAAATTCAAAATAAAATAATTTTTAAATACATAATATGCCTAGAAAAGAATACTTTTATTTTTACATTCATATTTTAAAATTACAATAAAAACTTACCCATGAAAATTCATTTCGAGTTGTATCATGTCAATTATCATTTTAACTGATTCTTTGGATAGTCTAAATAAATTAACAAATTCATCTTCGCGCCACCAACAAAACGGAAATCTAATTGATTGAAAAACGTCGTATTCAGTCATTTTTCAATAATAGCGGAATAAAATTATAAATAATGAAAACAATGAATTTATTAAACAGTAAACTGATTGTGTATTGAGAGAAAAGTCTTATAGAAGAAAATGTCCGGACACTGACTATCTCCTCTGTATAAATTTTGTAGTCACTCAAAGAAATAAAGCATTTTTGTATGCAAGGTTGTACTTGGAGCAGACATATGATATTAATAAATATTATCTATAAATGAGAATATAGAAAACTCGTCAAGTGATAACAGTACTTTATAGTGATACACCAAAATCTTAGTATATCTCAACCATGTTGGCAGCAGCTGTAGATACCCTTTGATGCGTGTTCGAGAACCAGTACCGAAAATTCGCCACTCCGGACTGTCTTTGTGATGTGCACTTTTTTTATAGTCTAGTTTTTTGTGCCTTATCTACAGTAGATAGATATTATCGATTATTAAATACTATTTTTTCATTAAAGTATTTTTTTAAAAATTATATTGTTATCACAATTCACATTATTTGTTATTATTTAATTTTTTTTATGCGTAAATGTAAAATTCCGAACTGTCACTTTTTAAATATTTTCGTGTTCAATGTTTGGATTTTGGTTATTATTATCAGTGGCGTCCGTAGGGGGAGAGGTAAGGGGTTATATCCCCCACATTGGCTTAAGAATACAAAAAAGCTGTTCTAGGATAATGAGGACGGGTTCAGCCACTGTTATAGATAATTTAATATATACCTGTAAGCAACGATAAACCATTGCTTACGAAAAAACCGATTCTGAGCGAAGTTCAGTTGATAGTGATGCTTTGACAACAATATACATGTTATTTTATAGTAAAATAATTAAATAGACTTTATATATTTTCTTTAATAATTATTGTTTAATGTTGTACCTTTTTTCCCATTATTCCTACGTTTTTTCCGTTTTTCCCATTTTTATAAATTTCCTAAGAAAAGTACCTTTCCAGTTAGATTTACTATCAGAAAAAGTGCTATCATTGTAAATAGGAACGAAATTTTTGGTAGAAAAGTTGTACACAGAAAAAAAAAAGGTCATAATATTTTATTCTATGTAACTTATTATTATAATTTTAGATTCTTAGTAGAGCGAGGAATGCATTCGTTTTACAACAAGATTTTTTTTTCTGTGAACAAATTTTTTACCAGAAATCTTTCTCCAATTTTTCAAGTGTAGTACATTTTCTGGGAAGAAATTTTATTAGGGTGGTAATTTATGGAGGTTTTTGATATTTCTAATGGTTTTCCCTGATAAATGGGAAAAAACGGGAAAATATACAGAATATATTATTTTTAAATCATAAATATTAAAATCTTTTAAAATGTGTACAACCGAACTCAGCTCAGAATTGTTTTTTCGTTTGTAATGGTTGATTGTTGTGTACAGATATATCCATAAAATTTTCCCTCTATCTTATCAACTTCTCATTTACACCAGTGGCTACCCACGTGCGAAATCTGTCCCGCTTTTTTTATTTTACAAATATTTGAATTATTTTCAACTGTATCATCCGGGATTATTTTTTTTTAAAATCCTTTGTCCTTATCATCAATGCGAGATAAAAAACATGTTTGATGATAATTAATTTTTTTTTTTCATAATTCACGATCTCTCAACTTTATCGTGATAAAATTTTTTATCAATTACTGATTAAATAATTTAGAATTCTATCACAAGTGGTATTTTTAGTAAATATTTTGTACTTTAACAAATTTAAACAAAAATAATTTTAAAACTAAATTAATATATTGGGGCCCGTTGTTATGTTGGGACCTGGGCTGCAGCTCCCCCTCCCCTAAGTAACGCTCTATCACCAAACATTCATTAGTTTTCCAATATTGTCCTATATAGTATTTAATATTACCCAAAAAATTGTTCAGTACCTACGAATCACGTGGAATCACAGATGTTATGTATTACAAATTTACAATTAAATGGCCAAGAGGTACAATTAGGTATATCTTAATCCGTGGATTATAATAATGATAACAATATTAATGATAATATGATATAATAAATAGTTAATAATTTATTGTAATAATAATAAAATAAATCACATGTTATAAAATAAAATTGCTTTCGTTTTATATCTAAAGTTTATGTCTTTTGCTTGCTGTTTTTGTGATTATCAATGTTATTTATGTCAGTATTTTACTGTAAGTGTGTAGTCTTTTACTAAAGTATGTTCTGGTTATTTGATTTATTATAACAATTTTATGTGATAGTGTCATAGATATTAAAGAATGGTTAGGCCTGATAGGATGGAAATAATATTCCATAATTACATTATGGAAAGCAGGTGTTATCTTAATAGGGATACATTAACTTCTTCATCAAAAATTAGTTCAACTTGCATTCATGAGTTCATGACCATAAACTCTGTGTACCTACTTATTATAAAAAACGTATTAAACTATAAATTTAAGTACAAAATTCTATTTGAATTTATTAAATCAATTTAAATACACAATATTGTACTTTCCTCAAAATATTTTAGTTAAAAAAAATAATTAAAATAATAAAATGGTACGATTTTTATATTCCTCAATTACATATACTGAAATAGACTAATATTTAAAAATATAAAGCGCGGGAATACTTTAGACGAAAAATGGCTGCTATCTATTGAGATGACCTTATTCTATATCTAGGCAGTAGTACATCTCTAGTTGCACCATAGAGTACTCTATTAGGTCGTTCTCTATTATGGCTTTGTAATTAAACTGAAGCCATAGATATCAAAGAATGGAATAAGCCATGGCTATACCAATAAAATAGAGGAAAATGTGCTAGAATGGGAAGAGAGAAAGACTGTTTTAATATTTTTATCAATCCCTTTCACTCTGGCAGAGGAATTATCACAAGATTTATTCTGTGATTATTATCATTGTAAGACGTAGATAATATGATCTACGAATAGATATGATATACCTCACGTCGAGGTCACCAATTTGGCGGGTTACACCAAGCCACGAGGTTTATGATAAGGTAAAAAGAAACGTTTATTTACAACATAAAGACATAATACAAGTGGTCGCCAGCTGACGGCTTTTGACGGAGGAAAAGGCGAGCACGCAACAATTAAAAACAACATTAGTTAAGAAAAACAATGTTTCATAATAATTTTTCGGTATCGGAAAACAATGTTTCGCGAACGGCGTCGGTGCGAAGAGAGAGAGCGGAGCGGTCGAGACGTCGAGTCGAGCGGAGCTGTGGACAATGACCGTTGAACGCCGACGGCGAGGGGCGTGACCGACGTCCGCCGCGAACGACGCGCAGCGGGAAGAAGAAATGTGGCGCGAGACCCGCCACAATGAATAGTTAATAATTTATTGTGTTGATAATCAGATAAATTACATGTTATATTATAGTCGTGACCAGTTCATTATTATTAGACCATTTTTAGAGGTGCGACTATACCTCATGTAAAACAAGTATGTCGCAAACATATCAAGAGGGCGTGTAAGTACTGCGCATGCGTTGCTCTCATCATATTGCCATTATAACCTAGTACATAGGATATTCACATGGAGTAATACATACAGTATTATGTTGGCTTAACTCTTAATATGTTGGTAACACATTTTATTGCATATATATGCTCTATTCATTGTACATGATGGTTACCATAAATTACCATTGGTAATTTGTTATTAGCACGTTATCGGCGAAGAAAACTCAGATAATCGAAACGTTCTGAACTCGTACAAATCCTACGCTCGGTTCACCGCTATTTATGAAAAATTGATTTTGAACAATTATTTTGTTTTGGTGTTATGGATAAGAATTAGTGTGTGGTTGCTGTTTATGTTGGTAAATATAATACATATCGCTGGTTATTTTTCGAACATACATAATTATACAAATCTTTTTTTTTTTAAATTTCTGGCAGTATACACTTATATGCAGAGGACTTTTAGCACTTTTTTATATCACAATATTCATTTAATTTTGAAAATTTGTTTTACACAATCAAAAAAATAGCATAGGAAAATAGAATTATTTTTCATCCACCGATTAGTTAAATTTTCTAATTTTCCCTTTATTAATTTCATTTATAGATAGATAGATTGCTCACTGCACAAAATGTGATCGATATGTGACTTTACGGGTATACCAATGTATTCACATTTCAGTGTTTGGTGTGCTTTTAAATGTTCGACTACGCCTTCTGGCTACGATTTATTTTATTCTTTTAGTTAGGTATTCATTATTATTTACAAAATGCTTAAGTTAAATCATCATTATCTTCACAATTTAAATTTCGATTTGTAATTTTATTTTGTATTTATAAATCCATATTTTGGGTACCTAACTTTTAGATATATTTCCTCTACTCTATAACTTATGATACTTATTAGGTAGTTATTTTTTTAAGTTATATTACAAATTGTGATTATATTATTGTGTATGTTCATTGTTTATTGAATTTAGGATGTTTTTAAAAATTATTAATAAATGCTAAAGGTGTTTACCTATAATAATTAACGTTAACACATCTATTTATGTTGTTTTTATTAGGTGTAGAATATTATGTTATGGCCATCATACTAAATATTTATCATTTTTATCACTATGAATAATTACTTTAAAAAATCTATTATGATATAAGTAGTATTTATATTAAATTAGAAATAAAATAACATTCAATATTGAAATATTATTAGTAGTTAGGTTATTTATATTTATCTAGATAGATACCTATATAAAATTATTAAACAAATAATTATATGTTTCTAGGTTGTAATAATTATCACAATTATTATAAGTATATGGAAAATAAATAGATTTTTAAATTAAAATCATTTTTACTATTAATCTTTAGTAATTAGTAAGTTTTAAATTTATGACTGTTTACTTTATAAAATTGGTGTCATGTCATATGCTCTTGAAATTTAAGTGTATCATATCCTTATCAATTTTATAGTTTTTGTTATATATTTCTTATTTTTATGGGTATAATATATTTTTTTATTATTAGATAAAACATTTATTTGGTGCCTTATTTCAAATATTAAAGGCGTAAATATTCAATTATAATTGATTTGAGAGTTAAATATATTATACATATAATTATCTAAGTATTAGTGGTAGTCAAATGTGTTAATCAAAATACTGGGGTCAAACCTAACATTCTATAAGTAAATTTAAATAAAATTAAGTTATTTATTTGTATTATTTAAATTTAATGTATACCAAATTTATTTTTTAACCTAAATAAAGATTACCAGTTAGTATAAAGTTGTAGAAAACAGTTTTTTTCTGTGTCATTAATTTTTATGCTTCAACTCAAATTCAATTAAGTTTAATATAAGTACTTTTAACTATTATTTATTAGAAATATAGGTATTATTAAATATAATATATTTATTGTGTTTTGTTAATTGTTTAGAATATTTTAGATAAAATATTACTAGTTACATAGTAATAATTATTCACAAAATGGATAATACTTCAAAAAGTAAATTTGTTTTGTTAACGGGCGGCGCAGGATATATTGGTAGCCATACTATTATACCTTTAATTGAATCAGGATATGAGGTGGTGGTCATAGACAATTTGTTCAATGCATGCAAAGGTATGTAATATTGCACTTTTATAGTCTCCTCCAAACAATTTTTTACAGCATTTTGTATCTTCTATTATATGATTGATAAGTTTTGTTTATAATAAAATTGATAAAAATTAATTTGTTTTTTGAAACATTGTAGTTGATTTGGTTATCTAATATTTAACACTTTAATTTATATGTGATTCTAATATTTTAAAAATTTTTTTTTTACTATTTATATTTTGTTAATAAAATTTGTTCCTCTCCCTCCAATGGTTACCTATATTAAAAATAAATATATAAAGTAATTCCAGCAATGGTGCATTACTATAACGCCATGCACAGTGTTGTCACACAAATGATACTTCACCACTTTCCTCTGATCTAAACTTAAAACTGGAATATCATTTCAAAGGGTTGACAGAAATCAAAAATGATTTAAACTAATACTCCATCTATGGAATTTTTAATATAGATGCCACTTGAAAATCAAAGATAGGTAGTCATAGATGTTCTATAAAACAAGTTCTGTAAAAAGTTCTGTAAATTCTATCCAAGATAATGAGTGTATTCACTTATATAACCCATTGTTTATAAGATACTATACCAATATAAGTATTTTGTACAATTTCTGGTTTTTACAATTATTTTTTGCCTTATAAACAAAATAGAATACAACAGAAAGTGTATAAATGTAACATTTAAAAATTGACAAGACTTTTTCTATGGTTTACCCCATAATTAAAAATTATTATAATAAAATATTATAATTAAACAGTTAAAAAATAACCTCATTCACCAAGCTAAACATTCTATTAAAATTCATCACATCGAAAGTTGATTATAAAAGCAAAATTTCTGTTAAAAAAGTGTTGTTCACAGCAAAGCCCTCCGCGGGTTAGGTTCAGTTTAAAATAATTGTAAAGGGCGCACTAATTTTTCTTAAGATTTATAATCTTATTATAATCTTTTATTTTTCTAATTCGAGCACTAAATTTAAATAAATGAATGTTATATTGATTCCTTTTGATTTATAATTTTTTACAGTATTTTTCTATCCAATCTTACTATGGTTTATTCAACATTTTGGCTTGTTTTACTTAAATAAGTACTCACAAAGTAATTAGCGTCATGATAATCATTTTCTGTGGGGATTTACGTTGCATTTTTATTTCATAGATGAAACACTGGATGTTAATATTTATTTGAATACATAAATTCTTGCATTTCTATTAAGATAATATTATATTTGCCTGGATTGTCAAATAAATTTGTGACACTAATGTTTGTTCAGATATAAAATAACTGAATAAAATTATAAAAATAAATTATCTAATCCTTTTGTAAATATTTTTAAAAATGGAATTCTTAAACAAAAATGATGCAGGCGAAGGAGAAAAACCAGTATCTATATTACAAGTTGAAAAATTAACTGGTAAGCAAGTGACATTCTATGCCATTGATCTCTTGGACTATATTTTACTCTCGGAAGTATTTGATAAGGTTAGTTGTATTATTAATTATATTAGTTTATTTATTTCAGCTTTATGTATTCACAATATCATTTAACTTTGATAGGTAATGTTGAAAAAGTAATTATTTATTCATAATCCGATATTATACTATCTTCTATTTATTACTTTAGTACTTTTCTAATTATCTTTCATTATTTGTTTATTTATATTTTCTGATAATGTATTCTGAAATTTATTTTTGAAGTTTTCAACTAAACAAATTGACAAACATGATAACACAGATTTTAAATTATGAATTAAACCTAACGAAACTACTATGTTAATGTTATATTTAAGTTTATTTTTAGGTACCTAATATATTTGTTTTAGTGAAATAATTTTATAAATTATGGCTGTTGTTTAATTGCATAAGTAAATTTTATCTTGATTATTTACAAACTAGGCTAATATTTTTAATATTAATAATAATTTTAATTTAATGGTAGGTATACATTTCATTGTGACTTATAATTTATAAATTTGATAAACACAACTTATATATTAAAAATATTACTTTATGGATTGTCTTACAAAATTAATGGAAATATTTTATTTTATTTGTTAGCATGAATTCTGTTGTGTTATTCATTTTGCTGGTTTAAAATATTCTAATGAATCATGTAATATTCCTTTGAATTATTACAAAGTAAATGTTTGCGGATCGATCAATTTATTTCAAGTAAGTTAATCATATAAGAATGCATTTATATAGTGTATAATTTGATAGTTTTAGTCATTAAAGTGATAAAATTCTTTTAAAAATTAAAATTCTTATATAAAATTCTGATAAAATTTTTCTAGCTCCATATTTGCTTGATTTTTGACATTACAGTTTTACCTATTTAATATTAAAATATTTTATAAGTTACATATTGTCCAATAGCAATATTTTGATGTAACATATTTTTGTATTTTATTAGAAGTAATTTAACAATATTAATCTTTTTTTTCATTATTTTGATACTATATTTTTATTGGATTACTTATTTAATATATTTATTATTAATATACTCAATTGGACAGGTTATGATGGAACACAACGTAAAAAGACTTGTATTTTCATCTTCGTCAACAGTTTATAGTGAACCTCATTTTTTACCAATAACTGAATTGCATCCAGTTGGCCAAAGTTTAGTCAATGTTTATGATAAATCAAAATATTATATTGAAGGAATTATTCAAGATTTATGCAATTCTGATAAAGTATATTATTAATGGTCAATTATTGCCTATTGAAAATAATTATTTATTGTAAATGCATTTATCATTAGGAATGGTTCGTGATTATTTTACGATATTTTAATTCAGTTGGAGCGCATTCTTCAGGAACTTTAGGTGAAGATCCTAATGGAACTCCAAGCAACTTAATGCCATATGTTGCTCAAGTAGCTGTTGGAAAAATTCAAAGTTTAAATGTTTTTGGTAAACATTGTAGTACTATTGATGGAACAGGAGTTAGAGATTATATTCACATTATGGATTTGGCTGAAGGTCATGTTAGTGCATTAGAAAAAATGCAAAAGTCTAATGATAGTGGAGCTATTGCCATAAACTTAAGTACTGGAAATGGATATTCTGTATTACAAGTAAAAAATTACATTTTCTATATATTCATTTTAACATTTACAATTTTAAACTATACAAAAATGTAGAGATAGTAAAATTTTAGATTTAATTTATAATCTTTATATTTTTAATTCCTACAAACTATTAATTATGATTAGTGTTCAGTACTAAATAACTTTTAAAATTATTTTTACCTTGTAATATAAGTTAAGTAAATAATGTGTTTTTGTTGTTTCTAGGTAATAAACATGTTTAGCCAAGTTAGTAAACAAGAAATAAAATATGAAATTGTTGATTGTCCAAATGGTTATTGTGACTCTTCTTATTGTGATGCATCTTTTGCAAAAGAATATCTTGGATGGGAAGCTAAGAGAACTTTAAAAGAAATGTGTGAAGATACATGGAGATGGCTATCATTATATCCTCAAGGATTTTCTACCACAACATAATTACTTACTCAGTTTATGTAAAAATCAAAGAAAAAATGTTTTAAGTTAATATTTTAATATAATATTTTAATCAAGAACAATAAATAAATTGTTATTAGTTATTTACATTCATTATTTTGAATAATCTGGTAAGAACAATTAGTTCTTGTAGGAACATCTTAGCACGTAGGTAGATGCATTTGTTTTAGTATTTACAATTATAGTTGTTTAGATAGAAATTCAGAGAGGATTGTTTTTTTTACTATATTGAAAATCAAGGGAATTTCATGATTTTTAAATTCAGTCAAATTTATTACTTTAGTTTAAATAATAAATTTAACCAAAGTTCATATTTTTCAATATGTAATTTACTGATTTTGATATATTTCTCTTTTGCCAGAGACAATAAATTCAGAAATGACTTAATTACTCATAAATATTTAATGTATTGATTATGAATCATAAAGCATAAAATAAAATTGTGTTTTAAGCTATTAATAATTTTTAGTTTACTGCGGTATTTTTAATTATTAAAAATACAATATATTATACAATATACACGTGTTGATAGATAATTATTTACAGAGATGATAGTGTAAAGGAAAAGCCACACAGTGATGACATTACTTTTAGATTTTAAGTAAAGTGAGGAATGTATTGGTTTTACAATGAAGTTTATTATATTTTTATCTGAAAAACTTCTACCAGCAATTTCGCTTAGATTTTTATGAAAATTGATCAATTGTAAAAATCATACAATTATATACGGATATTATTTGAGGTATTTACCCACCTCGCTGAAAACACGTATCGATTGTACTATCAGTACCAAAATGCGCTAAGTAACAAAAATTGTACCAGGTGATCCATTTAAGTGGCTTAAATTTACGTACACTCGTTTTCAGTGGCACCGAACACGGGGCGATCGGCCGACCAAATTTTTGGGGTGGTAGTGGTTGTAGCCACTTTAATGGTTGAATATAATATTATGCAATACTTTTCTTAGGTATAATATTATTGTTTCATAAAGTAATAATCAATTAATTCATTTAGCCCTTTTAGAATATAAGAAACTGTTTAGAAAGAACCTTTTTAATTCACCAACTTGATAGAATTTAGTTTTAGAAAAGGTGATACACTCGGTTCATCGCGGCGGGACAAAATTTGTTTACTGATGGAAGAAAAACACACACGTCATAGTAAAACCAATAAATCTCTCGCTCTGTATCTAAAATTAATTTTTTCTACTAATTATTAGATTCCGAGTGTAGCGAAGAATGTAGGTATTGGTTTTATACGGATGTTCCTTTTGGTATACTTTGTACAGAAATTCTACCAGAAGCCTTGCTCTGGTATATACGTGCGGCACCATTCTTGGTGGGAAATATTGTTATCAATATACTCGTATTTAATTTAGTTGTCTAATTCGGATCGCTCGTATATTGTTACCTATTATGCGTGAGTATTTGATTTTTGTCACGATACGATAAAATCTCTGAACAAATCCGGTTTATCCTCGCGATTAATAATTTCTACTAAACGTACGTATTAATATTTCTATATTCTAATTACTTTAGAATACAATATTCATCGTTACAAACCATACGACACGATGTAAGTAAATATTTTATAATTTTAATCGAAAACCCGTTTTCGTATTAGTTATTATATTATTATAAAATAAAATGTATACGAAATTTACAACCTATATAATTTGTATATAACTTGAATTCTTTTTTTAGACATTTTAATACTCAAATTTTGAATTTTTAAATTGATTAGAATTTAAAATCGATTAAACTGATTGATCGAGTTTAATTAATTTACAAAAAAAAAAAAAGTGATTTTTTAAAAATTATTTATACTATTATTTTTTGATTATTTGTTATGTATAACTTAATACGATAAGTGATTATATGGAAGAGGCAAGACAGGTACTTCAGATGAAGACATACAGTAGATTACAAAATGAATCTCTCAGAAGTGTTATTTATAAATATTCTATATGCGTTTTGTTTTAATTTGTTGATTTTTGTTACCTACAAGAAATTCAATTGTGATATATTTATAAATGAATGGCTTGAATTAAATTTCAAGTCTAATACTAGTCAAAGAGTTAAGATTTTGATAATTTTTAGTCAAATTAAAATGTGCTAGTTTAGAAATTACAATTAAGACATATAATAATTATCAGTTGGAATAAAATGTATTCGTAAATAATAATTTGTTTATTATTATTTTTTTTTTTTTTTGACGTGCAACATAATAAATTATACGAACGTGAATTTTTCTTTTCAATCGAACCGTGATTAATTAATGTTTTGAAGGCTCATCATTGGGCTATAATTGGACTGGTTGTTTTAAATGGCACAGACACTATAATATAGATCTAGTGTATCATTATGGTCTACTGAAATAAAATTTAATGACGACAATTTTAAGTGTCGCCGCTGTTTCCGCCGCGGCCGAAAAATGTTGCCCCGAACTAGAATCCGACACGTGGGGCGGCCAATTCGAGTTTGTGGGCAACGCTTACCGCGCTCCGACGACCTGAATTTCGCGAATTCCGCCATCTCCGGAAACCTCACACGTTTTTTGGCGTGCAAAAAGTAATTTCGCGGCCGTGCGTTTTATCGTTATTGTTGTTATTTTTTATTTTTTTTTTTCTATGTTAACCATTTTCATTATTCGACAACACGACTGCCGTCGCGTGTGTATATGTTTTTTTTTGCGTTTGCCACGCGCCCCAGTTGATTTTTCTATATTTGTTTCCATTGTTGTTGTTGTTGTTGTTATTGTTATGCAATTATAACGTTGTTTGACGACTTTCGTATTGTACGCGTACAGGCGCAAGTTGTTGAAAAAATAACGGTTAACGCTCTGGCCGACCACCGACACCGGTCGGACGAACGGTACTTGCGCGTCAAAAAGGAAAACGCCGCGCTTCAAGCGCGTGTCCGCATGCTCAAGGGGCAACTGTGGTGTAAGGTTAGCGCACAATATTAAATTATATTATTATAGTATAATTTAATGTGGTAGGAGGTACTCTTGTTTTACAGTGTAGTTGTTAATGTTGTTATTATCGTTGTATAAACGGGCCGGGTTTTCGTTGTCATATAATTATACAGTATACATATAATTATTATAAGTCTATGGATAAACACTCGTGGCCTATCCATTCTTCCCAGTAAAAATCGGTTTATATCACTAATTAAATAAACGGTTCTTATCAGTACCTGCTCTTTTGGAATAAACAACACAGTTACCTTATTAAAGATGTCTATTTTTAAATATATACCTAGGTTTTAATGATTTAATGTGGACATTATATTAAAGTATATTATATTTCAATATTTTCTTAAATTAATAGCAGTCGCCAGTCACAGTTTAGTAGCAGCATTGATTGCCTAATTAATGGTAATTCATCATCAATCTATAAGGTAAGGTAACTGTTTTGTTTTTTTCAAGCATAGATATATAAAATATTTCATAGATCTATGATTTCAAATAGGTAAATACTGATAAAAGCAGCTTATTTTACAAGCGTCAGAGACATAGAGCATAACATAATATCAAGAGACTATAAAAGAAAATAACAATAAAGCAACAAATATAACTATAACGTAAAATAATATATATGTGATAAAGAATAAAGAAGTCGCTATCAAAGTAATTGTGTATTTTCTTATCTAAATGCAAATTATTGATTATTGTATTCACTCAGGGCGTGGTCCATTAGTTAAAAAGTCCATGGTTGAAGACTTGAATTTATTTTTAGTTTTTTTAAGTTTAATATAATTAACGGGAGGGATCACAATTTTTTTCTTATCGCGGAAGTCAACTGTTAATTCAAATAGGGGAAATCACAGATATATTACCAGTAAGTATTGTAATATTTTATGTAGCGATATATAAATGCGTACCCTTTTTGATAGAATACATTTCTTCATATTTTTTGTCACCTTTTTTTCAAAGCTAGACATTTTTTGCGTTTTATTAGGATCAACGATACACGTATCCCGAATAGTTTTCGTTACACCCTCGTCCTAAAATTCCACTTGACCCGAACCCCACATCTTTCTCGTGTTTCTCGTTGTCATTCTAAATCGCATCTGACCACCTATTTTCGGCTTTTCTTTCCTGCTCTTATTTCTATGTTTATATTAATTACAATTCTTACTACTTCTGATTCATCTCTCCCCATGACATGCCCTAACCATTTCAATCTATTTTATCTTATTTTATTTACTATTGAAGCCACATTGAAGTTACCTCATTAAATAAGAACTCATTCCTTATACTATGTTCTTTCGTCACTCCACTCATCCACCTATGCATTTTCATTTCTGTTAACTCTTTTTTTGTTATATTTTTTTTCTATTGCTTAATACTGTGAACCATACTTCAAAGCCAGTCTCACACTCATTACATTATTGTAGAACTTACTTTTAAGTTTTATTGGAATCCTTTTGACATGTACAACACTTGATTCTTCTCTCCACTTTATCTAACCACATTTAATATTATACTTCACACTGTTGTTAAAGTTACCAGATCTTATTTACAAAAGATTTTATGAAGGTACTTAAAATTCTCACCCTTGCCTATTATGTCACCACTTATTTTCACTGTTTGTCTTTTCTTGTTCCTCTAAACTCATACTCTATATACACTTTTTTACTTATGCTTATTCTTAGTTCCTTTTCTTCAAATGCTACTCTCCACATGACTCATCAGTTGTATTCCTCTATAATACCTACATTCTTGTTTATTAATTATTATTATTGTTTGTTTCTCTTGCATTTAAAAATAGGCGTTTTCTTTTCTACTATCATCACATAGAAAAATCTTTTAGCCAGCTTATGCTTAGCTCCCCTCGCATTTTCTATATTTGTATGAGTACACCATCTGGACCTACCACTTTTTCTTCCCTAACTCTAAATTATTTATTTAATGATTAATTATACACAAATAGAAACAACTGACATAAAGATGAAAACTGATAATTAAACAAAAATAGAAATGACAAAAAAATTAAAATATAGCCGCTTACTATCACTTATATTAGAGAAATTCATAACAAAACATTTAAGAATCATTTTAAATAGATTAATTTTAAAAATAAATAGTCACATTCTGATTTACAATTTTCAATATGCTCTTTTAATTTTGTCAACTAGGAATATGTAAACAAGGATCTTATCTTGAGTGAATAAAGGCATGCAGATTAAATTTATATTTACCAGTATACAAGGCATACTTTGATCATTTATTGTCAAAAGATCTTGAGCTAAGTGAGCTTCTAAACAAAGATACTGTTTACAGGTAATATTTTAAATTGAAAAAGATGGTATTATGTGAACTTAATTAATTGTATTGTTTTAGTTCAGAGAAAGGATTGATTTATAATAAATCATGGAGATTTCAGAAAAGAAAAAACCTGATGTTCCAGAAAAGGAAAATGATGAGTGTCAAACTGGAAGTCAGTCTTCGGTGTCTGAGAACCGTGATAGCCTTACTTCTAGGTAAAATGTAATGTTTTAAAAAAACATGATCCATTATATTTAATTATATATATTTTTAAATTAAAACTAATTGAGCCTTACATAAATTAGTTTTATGTTTATTTTAGAAAACATGATTTGGACGATGTAGATGATACACCAGTTCAAATAAAAAAGGGAAAACGGATAAATACAGATTGTATATGACATTTGTCTCCTAATCATTTTAGTACTCGAAAAAAAGCTAAAAAAATTTTAAATATGATAAAAGATAAATATAAACAAAAACAAATTCAACTTCGCAACTTAAAAGAAGAGTTTCAAATGTTGACTTTTCAACTGATGATATATGAAAACAAATATGGTAAACTTTCAAAAATTAATACTATGAAAAATTTAAGAAATTAGGACAGTCCCTATATAATTTGAGAATCTAATCAGTGGCGTACACAGGGACGGTAGGTTGGGGATTTATATCCTCCACATTAGCTTAAAAATACAAAATAATATTAGTTTTTTTTAATTTCGAATTGTATATATATGTGTATATATCAGCCAAGTTACTAATAAACGCTTAAAGTATTAATTAAAAATTGGATTTTTAAGGATCTGGCTTTTAAATTATAAATTCCCGTAGTTGAGTTGGGTAGGGACAATTATTTTACAATTCTTATTTACTACATGTCCTGCCATAGAAAATTCCTGGGCACACCACTGCATTTAATAGTACCTAAGTTTTTAGTATTTTTAAAACCAATGAATTATTGTAATAATTATAAGTTTATTTATTATGTATTGTGTAATATTATTGCATCTTATAAAATGATTAATAATTAAATATTAAGTAGTAATTGCACTATTAATTAGTAGTATTTTTAATTTTAGTTTCTTTAAATTGAATTTTATTAGAAATTATATTCTTTGTTTTAATTATATAATATAAAAAAGTAATTTTTGTATTTCAATACACTATCTTTAGTAGTTTTATTTATGTGATTTAATACTTTTAAATAATAATTTAAACTAACAATGTTGGTCAAAATTTAAATTTACTGTGTACAAATTGTTATTCATTAGGTATGTAGTAATTGTTATAATATATTTGTAGTTCTCAAAAATCTGGTTTGAATTATTCAATTTAATATAGTAAATTTCTTTTAAGTGTTAATTATTTATTTTAAATTTACATGTACATTTTAAATTTTTAAGTAGCTCCCTATATAGTTATTATTATTTTTAAAAGATTTTGAAGAAAAAATTGCGTTTATACAGGTTGAATGATTTTCATCAAACAGTAGCTAATTGAAACTATCCATAATCCATACATTATAATATTAATACAAGTTAGCTTTTTTCATAGTATGGTTATAGTGTAAGGGTTACTTTAGTATAAAAATGCCATCAAACTTTTAATAATATTATTTGAATTGACTTCTGAACTTGCAAAGAACTATTTTAAGTTGAAAAGTAAAAATATTTTATGCTTAAACCAATATTCTAAATTGATTTTAAACAACATTGTGAAAACTTAATTTTTTTGAGAAGCCAGTAAATAGATATACCTATTAATTTTGCAATACAATATTATTATTATTAAACTGTTAATAATTGTTGAGATTACTCATTTACTATATTATTATGGGTCGTTTGGACACACTTTTTTATGGGAAGATGTACACGTATGTTTAAGTCTACAAATGATATTTATTAAAATTTAAACAAAACATGGTTGATAATTTATATTTATGAGTGAATGCCGTTATGATACCAGACCCGAAAAAAAACTCAGTTGTATTTATTAGTTATAAGTACACTACCGAAATGACTGAACAGGTTGTCATTAAGGTGATGATGCTCTTCCTTCTCGTGCATCGGTGGTGGTGTAGCTGTCTCGACTTTGGACTGAGCTCACTTACTGAGTTAAGCTGACTCTTAGTGACGATCTAAGTCTCCTTAAATATGTTTGTTGACACAATCAGGGCTTAGGTGATGGTGGACGCTACCGTCGTTTACTGGTGGCATGCCGTCTGTATCTGTACATGTTTTCCCTTTGTCTCATGAACACATATCATCCATTGTTGCATGGGAACGTTGTTGGTTTACCACACCCGTATTAATGGCTCTTGTGTGCATACACTTAATGCGACAACCAATTTCATATTTTGTCGCGTGGAATTAATAGTTAATAATTAACAAACTTAAACACGCGAAGGACAGAGTCCATAATAATATGGATGGTGATGGGGGAGAAAAACAGCTGTGAAAAGAATTAATATTAGGAAAACCAAACCCTTGACAAGGTAAAAGCATGAAGATACCAGTATAGTGGATAAACTTTGATTAGGAATCTATATACAGGGTGATTTTTTTGATCATGAACTAGCAATTATTTCAGAGGATTGAAGTAAATATGATTTCTGTTTTTTCCAATCATTATGGAATTATTTAAGCTTTATTTTAAAGTTTTTACCCCTACTTTATGTACCTTAAATGAGTACATTTTTTTGATTTTCAAATAGAAACCTCCTTTTTTGAGTACAGATTTAAATAGAGAATATTTTTCTAGAAATTTTGATATTCATTATACTAATATCAAATTTACTGTTTATGAGTTATAACAATTTAATGTTTAGGCCAGAGAAGTAGAGAAGGGTCATAGATACGCAATTTATTACATTTCCCTTAAAAAAATCACCCTTTATCTCTCATTTTTTCCCTCAATATAAATTAAAAAGGATAAAAATATGAGTAAGTAATTTAACAATATTTTATAAATTATATTATGTTAATATTTAAGTTCCCTAACAGGACTACAAAACCAATTATCTTAAGGTAAGATTATATTTTTTTGAGGAATTTTCTTCTCGTAGAAGATCTAAAATTATTTTGAAAAACTATTTTTTTTTTTAAGAATCTATGAGTTTATAATTTTTCTTATTAAAAAATTTATTATGTAAATTAGATTATTGTGTTTATTTCATTAATAAGGTGGTAAGAATATTTTTCGTAAGTTAGTTATTTACAATTGCTGAAACTATTGATTACCATAATTTCATTGAAATTTAAAAATTTTACTTTCTAGGTTTGATGGTTCAGATTTCGATATTTGTGAAACCGCCTGAATTCCAGATTTTTAAATTTCAGATTAATGTAGCCTTTTTTTACCCGTAATTCGTAAATATATTATAAGTAGCCAGTAGATAGTTAACAGATTGCTTTACTAAGCATTTTTAATTAATCAAAAATTACTAAGCATTCTTCGTTTCGACCCGACATCTGTCTCATAAAATTCGGCAACTAATAATAATAATATCGTATTCTATTATTTGTATTGTAAAAATATTAGAAAATTTTATACGTATTTTATTTGACGGATTCAGGGTTGGGTCAGATCAATGGGTGAGCCTTGTTAACGCTTATTTTAATATTATTTAATTTTATTAAGTATAATTTAATAGGGTTTTCTGCAAAGGCAAAAACCCGGGTCAACTATGATGGCGAGTTTATATACCTACAGTTATATCTAGGTAGTTTACATTCGACGATGGGTGTGGACTGGTATTGTAAAGATTTGTTGTTGTTACAGTCCTACAGACAAATAACAACCGAATACAAAAGACGCCAGGTGTACAGCTGCGCGTCGTTAATGCTCGACTATGTAGCGGTACACCAATCTTTGATCGCCCGCCGTACACTCATACATATTATATTTATTATTATTTAAACGCAAACGGAAAAAAAAAAATTTTAAACTAAATACTATTAGGACATTGGTACTTAGTACAAATTAATAAATGAGGCCAACAAAAAATACAAAAATCATTTGATTGCATGTACCTATCTATGATTATAATTTATTTTCATCATAATGTATATTTTTGGTGAACTTCCCCTGCAAATATTAAACTATATAGATTATAGATACTATTTACTGTATCGCGTATATATAATATATAAATAGTTTCCCCTACTTTTAAACTCTTGGCGGCTTTTCCTGGATCAAATGAGCTCAACCTTGAGAATAAGAATTGTTTTATAAACGAATTGAAGTGATGAAATTGTAGTTAAATTTCAATATGAATGTTACCATGTTGTTGGGGGATATTATGATTTTAGCTTGTTACATCACTACAGATCCCAAAATGAAGTCGGGGGTATGCAATTTTGTATATTATGTATGATGTTAGTATGAAGAATGTATAGTTTCAATTTGGAACTCCCAACCTCTCTACTGTAAAATTTTCTGTAGTACTACATATATATACATATATATATATGATAATATCTTGTACAATTTTCATTGTACTAGGTATTGTATTATATTACTCGATTGATTATTGTTTTGTAAACAATATTTATATGATTAAAAAAAGGTGATGAGAAATTCGACTCTAATGATGAAACACTGCTGCTCAAAGGTGATTTTTTCAAACTCTTTTTTTATTATTGAATATTGCAATTTAAAATCTATAAACTATCAAACTATCCATAAATGATGCACTTATATACACAGTATATTAAAGTTTTGCGTTATATTTCAAAATCTGAACAGAGCAAAGATCTTACACTATCGAAGTTGACAAATTTTATTTGTACACATCGATAAAACATTATTATAGAAAAATAATTATGAATGAATTTCTGTTAAATGCCGTAATTTTTATGGATTTTGTCAAAATTTGTTCTAAAAACGCATATAAAAAATCTTACTACTATACTACTATATACTAAGTCATACACATAATGAACCTCGTATTTTCTGTTCGGTTAAACAATTGTTTCCACATTAAACTAAATAAAACTTTAAAAAAAAAAGTTGAAAAAAATGTCGAATGCCTATAAATTATAAATCGTTCAAACATTGCTAGAATTTTTTAAAAAAATTTACCACCTATACAATAGATTAAAATAAGTATTCTGTGACAATTTTAGGTTTTTACGAATAGTTTTAACCCAATCATAAAAAAAAAAACTCTCACCATTTCCTTTTTTAATAACTGGTATTTATTTTACACACAAAACAATTAATGTATACATATTAAACATATTAAGATATCTTAATTCGTGTTATTAATGTTTTACATCTGTGAAATAAAAAACAATGACAATGTATTCTATTCCTTTATATAGTTCTCCAATATATCTATCTTTCTCTTACTCAATGTTTACTAATCATGCAATAGGCGAGGGGGTTTGAATGCACGGTTCATAGTTATTAGGTCTATGGTTTTTATTAATCCCTCTCACTTTGGCAGAAGAATTATCACAAGACATGTTTTGTGATTTTTATCATTGCAAGACGAATATTGGATTATACATAAAAAAAATAAATATTATGAATACCTATAAATTATTAAATTATATTTTATCTGTTATATTGTTATTATTAATTTCATTATTTGATTTTTTTACTCCTAATTGAATTATTAATAAAACTAACTGTTTTATATTCTTTAATCTATTTGATTA